TCTGCTGCGAGAGATTTTTGCAGGAGAATCGTGTAATTGTAACAAACTAGACTGACATTGATTTATGTAAGGTTAAAATAAGCTGACATTGATTGATGTAAGATCAAAATAGGCTGGCATCGAAATTACGCGAGAAACAATTATAATATAATATAATATCATACTCGATAAATTTGTTAAACATTAATTTTGAAATCGAAAATTTCCTGTAAACCATTTGACACATCTGAGAATTTATGATGTGTCGCTATTCATTTCAGCATCCTGGCTCCCGGCTGCTCTGCCGTAGTATTTCCTACAGTTATTCGTGACACTGACATTAACACGTTTGCGATGACGTAAACCTTCTTATCCATTATTTCGGTATTCTCGTGCATCGCGTATTTTTCCTTAACCAAGCCTCACATGACGTCACGAACGCACCACCGTACACGCGAAGTGTACGTGCCAACTGTTAGTGCCGCGAACTGATGACTGGAATGCCACGACGGAGCTGCCGGAAGCAAAAATGCGAAAAGCGATACATCATATGTTTAGCAGATATTTGACAAATTTACTGAGAAAAAGATATCCCGAGTCGAAATTTCAGTCTTCATAATTCATCATCATTTGATATAAACAATTATAGCTTGGTAAAATTTTTCGTTATTCTTCCATTTGAATTTGTACTTATTAATTTATACAGCAAGAAATAGTGACTTTCAGATAACCGAATAACGGTGAATACGAATAGGTAATTAATCATGCTCACGTTTGAAAATGATGAATAATTTATAACCATAAATACCGGATTTATAATTCAGTCTAAGTTTTGCAAATGCTGATTTGTCTAATAACGATTCTGCTTTTCATTTCTGCCTCCAAGGTTGTGATTGAACCGAATTGAAATTTAAATCTCTATTGGCGCTCCATCACGTGGCGCATTATTAATTAAACATATAATCGGCATCTCTATACTTGTATTATTCTTTCTCCTTCTCACCTCATTTAAATCTATAAATCTTATCGAACTGTCCAGTGGCAAGAAGAAGCATTAGCGATGAAGAAAGAAAACCTGTCGTTTTATTTACCCATTAATCTACTTGAAAGGCGTTTCTAGTTTACACGTGAAATCGCGTTGCGAGATATTAGAGTTGCTAAATCTTCCGAGGCCCAAGGCGAATTACCTCACAAGTCGATCTTCTGAACCGGCCCTACCGTCGTGTAAAAGCTAAATTTCACGGGGAAAGGGAAGCCTACGAGAGTTTGCTCCCTGTAAACTCGTCGTAGAAATGTCAAACAGCGCGCGCGTACGCGGTTTATCGGATGCCGCGGCTTCTTCTTCTTCTTCGTTTACATGCCGCGCACGAGTTCTCTATAAATATATGCGTCCCGTCATTGTAAGAGAAAGTATCGTTGCGGCAATGATAAGCCCATCGTGGACGAATAGTTGTCGCGTGCGCGATCTTGCCGCAGGGTCGACGTTTCCGAAATCGTTGCCGCAAACGCGGAGGGCGAGCGCATGTCAAGTCACGGTGGAGAAATGCGGGTGATTGGCTGCGAAATCTCAAGAATTTTATTAGCCGGGGAGATGCGACAACATTCTCAAATGCCTAGGACGCGAGTAAAGAGACGTTAGAATTTAGGGCCGGCCCTCGGTATCCGAAATATTCCGGAACCAACTGATTGCGCGAGATCATAATGGTCGAAGAAATAATTGCCGCGTTCTAAATTTCAAGTCAAACGTTAAAGTTTTACGAATATAATGCATTCTAATTCAAATTTTAATCATATAACATAATTATAATCATAATAATAATAATTATTATTATCATTGTTATTATTATTATAGTCGTAGATATAATTATAAATTACAATTATGAGATACAATTATATAAAAACTACAGTTATCACACGTTGAAATTCTATCGTTGTTAATTATCCGTGTATCATTCGCGCGTGTTCATCATCATCGCGATGACAAGCGCGCGTTTATATTACGCGATAACGCGCCAGGTAAATTCGTTTTACGTTCATTAATTCGTCATCTGCGTGCGATTAGGTCAACCCGACGCAAAAGTCATTAGATTCGAAGGATGGATCAAAGGCGACAACAATGAGTCCCGCGAGTATCATCGGTACACACCGACAAGTCTTGTCATTGGTGGTGAATGTGGATGGGTAAAACCGCGGTTACGATTCTCGTAATGACAAAGCAACGACGACGACGACGAGTGGACGGTCTCTTATGCAGATGAATGATTTTTCTGATACATTGTCAGCGGAGAATGCCGAATGAATTAATGATCTCGTTATATCTCGTATTCTAATTAATCGCATGATGTGCGCGCGCGTTCCTGGTACATCGCCGACGCATCTCCGCCGGTATTTTGCCGTCTTAATGATCAATTATGCAGGCAAAGAGAGACGTCTCACGTGTTCCGCTCGCGGAACCGGATCTAACTTCTACTCCGCGCCCGAAGAGAACGACAATGCTACTGAGAAGTTAATCATTCGAGAAGTGGAAAGAGCGGGCGAAGGATAGATGATGCTGCGAGCGCGATGTGAGCGAAATTAATATAGTTACTTATTGCAATCACTTATGTAACCACACGAGCAAACGTGTGGTAAATGCACTTAACTGAATTAATTCAAATCTCTTAATTGATTTCTTCCGCGTGAACGCATTTTCCTTTGCATTTTTTGTTTGTTTCTTTTTTCTGTGTAAATTGTATGCAAATATAATAGCGAGAAAATGGTCTCCCCTGAAAACAGGAGGTTTCCATAGAATTTCTCTAATCGTCATCTAAGAAACGAAAAAGTTGGGTCTCACTTATCAGGGAGACATTAAGGAGGTTGTAATGCTTAGTATCGTATTTTCAGTGACGCACCAAAAGAACTTCATAAATTTAATATTAATCAAGCAAAATTACGTCAACTTTAGTTGCAAATATCTCAGCTTTTGAACGGTCAATCTTTTTCTAATTGCACGAGCAGTTAGATAGTATTTCAACGTCTATGTAATGCAAGCTTCGATTTCTTATCAAGTTCGCTACGCCTTGCAGCCTCCTTGAGCAACACGTTACATAAAATTTGATAAAAAACATACGTTTCTCGATAGAAATATTCCATAGCGTATGAAACACACGCATTACGGAATTAAGAATTGTATGTATCAAGCATTCTCTCTGCGGCGGTAATTTAATATTCCAGCGCGAAAAATAAGAGAAAGAGACATTCGTATCTAGGTTTCTACATAGTAAACGCCACGAGAGATCGAGGTCGGATTTTCATTCACGATTTCGCCGTCGTCCGCGTCACGCGATCAGGCGGCCGCGTTAATAACGCGCGTTCGGCACGATTCCGGCCGAAACACGGTCCCTTCTAAATCGATCGGGATATCGAATCGCGTCGAGCCGCGTTAATGAGCGCGACCGCTCGCACGTTGCGTATCTGCATAGATCGCGGATACGGCTCGCAACCATAATGCATACACGGCCGCACGTTCCATCGGGCTGCGATCACGCGCCAAATTGTGCAATCTAATCTTTTCTTCCTAGCGCTCGCGCGAAGGACCGACGTGTTAGCGACGTGTATCCGTTGTTCCAGCACGACAACGACGGCGACATCCCGTTATCTAACGGCGCGCGGAATCTTACGCGATGCACGCCTGCAGCCGTTACGTCAGCCGCGGAATTAAGATCCGATATATTATGTAAAAGCGCGCTCAGCTACACGTGTAACACGTTCCGCTAAATTAATTGAAAAGCGCGAGCGCGCACGCGGCATCGCACCCTCCCATATCGCGCCGTGTGTTCCGCCGTTAATACTGCCGCGTCGCGCGTTTATGAACTAGAGCTGTTAATCTTGGATAATTTTGAAGCTTCGAGGGAAATTCGAAATTTCGAAAATATCGAAGCTTCGAAGCTTTCTAAACATCGGGATTATAAGATTTTTAATCTACATAATCCGGTACACTCATTCATTTACAAAAGTTCATTTACAACATTTCTCAGTATTCCCTGAGTAAAATATACGTAGACATTAGACTACAGCATTCGTAAGATTGTACTCTCCGAAGCTTCGAAGGTCACGGGCTTTGCAAACGAATCTTCGAAGTTTCACCTTATCAAAATTCAAAAGTTCGAAGTCTCGAATCCTTTCGAGTCTTCGGAGCTTTAAAATGATCGAAGATTAACAGCCCTATTACGAACGACAAGTCGTCACGACGATTACAACACGAGATCCCCGTCCGATTTCGCAAAATTTCGCTGAATTTGCATAGATGGTAACAAACATCACCGGCGGTAGTAGGCGGGCTGTGCAAACTACCGGATTTGCAGAAATAAAAGATTTGCATTCGAATACTATTATCGAGATGGAGATTCAATGTTCTCCGCAGCTGTCGCGATTATGCTTTTACTAACCCATTTGCATCCATAATTATAACAGGTAGACCGCCTCTCTGGAAACTGTTAATTTCGTTTCTTCTTTATTTGAAGTTCGAGATTTCAGATGGAACAAGAGACGGATGTGTAATCTTCTCTCGCTCACCGGTATTTCTGCAAAACACTCTGTGGTATATATAATTTCAGACTTTGAGACAAAACTTCAACGATGCATCTTCGTCACGAATCTATCTTGAATATATATGAGAAACCTCTATATTTGTACTACCATTTTTATACATTAACCATGTTAAAGTACATATACATGAGTAAAATTGAATTATCATTTCAATGTACATTTTATTAACATAACGCAACAAAAATTGAGATAAGTTATGAAATATATTTTTATATGCTATTTGTGTAAAAAGACAAAAATTGGAATATCGATAAAATTAGAAATGATCTTTCTCTCTCTTTCTCAATAATCTCAATATCTCAATAATTATGCAACATAACCTAGATGCACAGAAGCGTATCGTCACGCTGCAGAGATGCAAATCAATTAACATGCTACGTGAGACTGCTCATTCTTCATTCCGGCCATGTTAGAATTTCTGAAGAACAACTCACCGGAATCAGCTACGCAAGAAGTCATAACTCGCCGTCGTCGTTAACCTCCGATGACGACGAGCCGAGCGAGGTGTTCAGGCTGACCGTGTTCCGCGGACGGGGACGTCGTCAGGAGCTCGTCGAAAAGCCGCGAGATTCCCTGAGTTTCACGCCACGCTCGATGGATCGTAGAAACCAAGCCGCACGATCGCTGTTGGTTTTCGCCTGCGGAGCATTAACCCGTAAAACGTTAGCCTTGTCACAGTATCTCGTCGGGGAAAACAGTCGCGTCGCGGACGTTCCGTGTCCTTGCGGTAGGATCGCTCGTCGGTTATTACCGTGATTTTCAGAATGTGCTCGGTGCCGCAATCCGCGGACGCTTGCAAAACCGCGATTGCGCCAATACTTGAAGCGTACACACGAGACAATGAGCCCGTTAAAGGTCTTAGCGCGACCGCGAAGCAATGGCGGACTGGCGGTTCGATTATCGAAAGGAGACAACTCTCAGACGTGGTTCAGTTCAGCCGATACGGCATGCGGGAGAAAGAAATGACAACGAGGAGAGCAACTTTCTCTCCCACGAAATGCAGCTGTTGCGATGTGTATCACGTTGTTACTCGGAAAAGCGAGATTCAGACAGTTTCAGAATCCCATATTACCTTGCGATTGTTTTCGAACCTCCCGATGCGGAGGCGGTACCGTCGCGACATCTCCCGAATTTCAAAATTCGAGGCGTCAAACGTGCCTTCCTCGATGGTCGATTCTCGAACTACGGTGTCGAGAAAGTGCGGTTATGTTACGATAACCAAACTCTTTTTCTCTCTCCCGAGTGTGTGTTTATCGAATAATAAAAGTTGACGGAAATCAAGATGAATATCATCGGTCGACAATGTTTGAGAATTTTGCAAAATAACGTGAAGAGTCCAAATTTGTCGCACGATTTCGGCAGAGTGTTCAGTTTTAAGAGTGCCGTGTCGTTAAAGAATTTGTACCCGGAAAGCAAGCAGAAGCTGTACACTCCGAGCTTTGTTAGTATACTTTGATTTGTTTAAAAATATTTGTATAATAAATTAGAGAATTTACCTTATTTTTCGAATCACGATGCTGCGGATCTCATTGATACGTTGCCCAGGACGACATAACCTCTACAGCGAGGATTGTGATGACTGCTCTTTTGCTCCTCAGGTGCCGGATCCCAAATTGAAATTCGATGGCTTCATACCCTTGGACAAGATTAACATCACGTACAGTGCCAGCAGTGGACCGGGAGGGCAAAATGTCAATCGTGTTAATACCAAAGTCGATCTCAGGCTGAAATTGAGTACCGCTACCTGGTTAGCAGAAGACATTAGAACGAAGTTAGCAGAACAGGTAGGTAATATTTTAGAGATTGTTGCATGAATAATTTCTGAAAAGATTCTTTGAGTTTTACTTAATGTGTATCTAATTGATATAATATCTTTATAGGCAATAACAACTGTTTATGAAATTATAAATGCAATTCATACGTTCATTTATTTCAGTATAAGAACAAGATAAACAAGGATGGTTACTTAATAATCAAGTCAGACCTAACAAGATCCCAACACTTGAACCTAGCTGATGCTCTAGAAAAGCTAAGGGCAATGATAAGATCTACTCTGGTGGAACCGCCAAAACCATCACCCGAGTCAGAAGAGAGAATAAGGAAAAACCTGCTGAAAGCAGCCAGGGAGAGACTACATGAGAAAAGAGTTCGTTCACAAGTCAAGCAAAGCAGACGAGTCCCAACTGACATTTAAATCAATCTAGTTTAATTAATTCACCTGTCTAAGTACTGTATAGTATATATATAGATACATAAAATACGGACAAAAATAAAGAAAAACAACTTATATCCTAATTCTAACTGCGAATCTATATAATTCCACGATATACGCTCTCTAAAATCCGAGTTGTACGAGAAATATCGACCGCCCGAATATCGAACGCTTCTTATTTATCGCCAGTACAGGTGGTTCGTCTCTATGGCAACGTCGAGGCACCAATAGGGAAACACACGGACCGTGGAGGCGCGTGTCGATCACAGTGATTCAGTCTTTCGTCGTATTTCTTCATGCGAAAATGTCCTACCGCGATTTACGTAGTATGTTACTTGGCATTTTATTACTTCTGACGCGTAAATTGTGCGAGCGAGCGATACCGTAACGCGAGTACGCTTCTCATCATCTGTCTGCTTGCGTAGATTTCACGGAGATGATGAGGGTGTTGGGCTACCCGAGGCTGATTTCCATCGCGAACTTTCGCGTGCCGAACTTCCCCCTAGTCGCGGAGATCCTGATCTGGCTGGTGAAGCGCTTCGATCCGGACGTCGATATTTCTAGCGACCACGATACCGAGGAACAACGCGTGGCATTGATACGCACCGTTGCCGAGTTTATGGTAATAACACGTTTATGTAACGCGTGTATTATGTACTCCCCGACTTTTTTTCATTTCTTCGTTAGTTAAAACGTTTATTTGAATTTATTTCAATATTTCTCAATGTTCAATCCTCATGTGACTAATACAGGGTATACAGGGTGTCCCAGTATGAGGAGAACACTTAAATATCTCCTTTGTTTTTAACATAAGAAATGTTTAGAGCACAATTTAAATAGATTTTAAGAAATATTATGGAAAAAAGATTTTTTTACGGTAATTTGTTTCGATTTTTTAAAGTTCTTAAGATATTTAGGTGTTCTTATATTAGGGTATCCTGTATATTTTCATATATCTTACGTCATCGAGATCTCTGAAGAGCTCCCGAACGAATATATAGAGTGTTTCTAAGCCACTGGACACGCCTTTTTATTACGAAAGATATTTTTAATACATATTGAAAAAGATCGATTCTATACTAGCTGAAGAAGTCGCGTTGATTCAAAGCTACGCTATGTACATCACGTGTCACTTTGAAACGTAGATATTTCGTAATCGCGAATGCTTATAGGCGTTAAAGACGAACGTCAAGTTGAACACGAAGAAGCTGTATCAAGCGGACGGTTATGCTGTGAAGGAACTGTTAAAAATGACCGTTCTGCTGTACGAAGCGCAAAGTAGTAGCGGCAGCGCCGAGCAAAATCGACCCGGTAGCAATCAGAATACGGCAAATTTCGACATATCTGACAAAATTAACGAGCTGAAAACGACGCGACAGCTCGCCAGTCAACTAACCATCAACGGGGCGACCCTCTTCGACCTGCTCGGCCGAGAAGTAGAGCTACGTGAGATTCGTAATACCAAAGTCGCCAGGCAGTTTGACACCTCGGAGATCGAAATAGCTTTAAAGGACGTAATCGACAGTACGCGCAAAGAGATCGATGAAACCAGAAGGCAGATTGATAATGTCAAGGTATAGATCTTTCGTATTTTAAAGAAAATTCTTTCGTATTCTTTCGAAAAATCTTTCGTATTTAAAAAAAAAAATTCTTACCCGTGAGATCTCCATATTCTCTTTATATAAACTTTTTACTCTTTATATAAACTCTTTATATAAACTCTTCATATAAACGTTGAAATATCTTTTCTCTGACGAGACGATGATTATTCCTTGTCCGTTTATTTTATAAGGACACAGAACAAAACTTGGACGCAAGGATCGAAAGACGGCGAACGGAACTGGACAGAAATCAAAAGAGGCTTCAAACACTAAAGAAAGTTCGTCCAGCTTTCATGGAGGAGTTCGAGAAGCTCGAAGTCGAGTTGAGAGCTTTGTACGACGATTATTTGCAAAAATTCCGTTACCTGGCGTACCTGGAACACTTGTATGAAGACGCGGCTAAGGCGGAGCAAGAGAGATTCGAGAGACGGTATATATACACGCGATAAAAATATAGAAATAATAGATATAAATGTGACATATGATTGACACGCCTTACTTTTATCCACGCTGCTCGACCGCAGGCAAGCCGCGACCAAGAAGCAACTGGAGCAAATGAGAGCCGAAGACACGAGCTTCGAGAGCATGATGGAGGGCAACGACTCGATCTTCGCGACGAATCTCCAAGAACCCTTGGTCACCCCCTTAACAAACACGGAAACAACAGCGGCGGAAAAATCCGGCCAATCCGCCCATGTGAAACCAAGTATACTGATCGTTTATTCTACAATATATAATTCACATTTATGACACAATTATCTTTTGATCGCCGACGACGAGAATTCTCGTAACTTTGGACTTTGCGTTTACTACGGCAAAAATGCTTCCCCTCATGAAATATTTCGTCATATTAGAGCCTCTAAGTGATTTTATCACTGAAGCAGAGTGCAACGTGGGATTTTTGGGTGTGCTGAACACGATTTTTTTCGATTTTTTTCGAGCGTGAAAATTTTTTTCGACCTTTGAAAATAAATTAAAACTTTTCGCTTCAGCCACCGGAAGGACGTCGAAGATGCAGTATACTCAACGGCGCCTCTACGGCAGCATGTCCGGCCGGCAGAGAGGTACGATCCAGGAGTCGAACGACAGCGACGGCTCGTTGGACAGCGACAGCGACCTGCTGATCGACGGCGACCTGGACGACGACGACGACGAGGATCTGCTGAACTCCGTCGGGGCGCCCGATATCGGCAGTTACAATCTCAAAGCCGGCCAAGAGAAGCGGGCCGTCAGCAAGATAGACCATTCGGATGACGATTTTTAACCGGCGAAACAACCCGCGCGACTCGCGTTCATTTCCACATTTCACATTTTTCTATGGAAATTCACGGGTAAACAAGGAAGCGTGTTATCGCAACAAGTTGACGCAAAACTATAAAGCATACGAAAATGATACAAGTATACGTGTGTGCCGTGCTAACGTAAATACGGCTTTATTTACACTTGTAAACAAGCGAGCCGGATGGAGAAGAGGAGAGGAATCGAGAGGTGCATATTGTCCTAGTATCATATTTATTAACTTCATCAACGCAGTCCGCCGGTCGACGTCGACCGGTAGCGTCGACTTCAGCACCGATCACACGTACATCACTTAAATCTACCTTATATGCCGTGTACGCGCGGTCCGCGGTACGTTCGCATGCGTGTATACACATATATACATAAAACGTGCGCGTAAGAAACATGATTCTTCGTATCAATAAAGAAATAGAAAGACTCTTGCGCTATACTCGCCGTCGGCGAGTTCTATCGCCGCCTCAGCGGCACCCCCGGCTTGTCTGCTAGAGTATCGATTCGGCTGCCGGTGTATGTTGTGATCCTCCTCCTTCACCTCTTCCTCCTCTTCTTCCTTCTATCGCCTCGCAAATGTGTATCTACTCGAAACATCTTATCCGTCTAAGTTCATCCGTGCGGCCTCATCGTCGTAAGTACGAGCGACTTCGGGCGCGCCAGAAAAAAAAAAACAACAAAAACGCTTCTGTGCTCGTCTGTTCGTCGAATAATCGCGAAACGACAACGACGGATCGGGCGATATATTCGTAGAACCTCGCGATATCCAGTACGCGTCTCACTCTTCCCTTCGTTTAGAAAAGGAGGAACGGCTTCTCTCCCGTATAAAAAATTCGTCCCGTATTAATTTACGATATATCTCTCGTTTCATTTTTTCTATATGTGTGTGTGTGTGTGTGTGTATTTTTCTTCGTCCTCTGACGGAATACTGACGAATCCTGCAATTCAATCCGCCACCGATCGCGAACGCTGCAACGAGACTGCACGATAAATTCATCGTATCACAAAACGCGACTGTGCAGCAGTCTTGCTCGAGACTGTGCAGCGGCGACCGGGCAATATCGTTACGCGAGGTAAAACAAACGAATTACACGCTAAATCCAAGTTCTTTGTAAGCCCTTGGAGAAGATCTTGAGAAAGACTTCGGCTAATACCTCTCTGTTGAAATAAACCCACGTTCTCTCGGCGACATTACGCCTCCGTTCGCGACAGAGACAACGTATGTCGAGAAACGATGACACTGCTTTTTTTTCCTCTTTCTTTTCTTCCATCCGAGATCATCGCGTCCTACGCCGCCCCCTCGAAATTCAATGCCTAACACACTCCTAAATACATATTATACATACACGTCACTATGCTAATTATATATCGATTCTATGGATATGCGTAAGATTTGTTTAATACGTTGTGCGGATTTACAAGTATTCCCAAGAGAGAGAGAGATAGGTAAAAAAAAAAGGGGGCAGAAGAAGGAAAGTCCATTCGAAACAACGGTATAATTACGTACGGGTGATATCTAAATCTCGCTTGTATCTCGCTTCTTTTTCTTATCGCCAGCTGCTCTTTTATAGCCCGTATGATTTAGGCCCTCCGTAAGAAATCTTCGTTAGCAGACAACGTCGATCAGTCGACGAACCTCGCGTCTCTTCGCGGCGCGCGCGAGCGAAAGAGTCGCACGACACGCGAGAGCTCTCGTATAAAATCGTAAGAGAGAGAAAGCACCATGTGTGTGTAGCAGCGTCGAGAGAGAGAGAGAGAGAGAGACAAATTCGATCGACTGACTCAGCGGCGGCTTGTCTTTCCGCCCCGCCCAGGAATCCGTCACGTAGAAAAATATGATTAATCCGCGTCTCGACGAGCGTTGCGCCCATTCCTTAGGTAATTTCGCGACAGCCTGCGGCAACTCTCGTTGCCCGTATGCGTGTACACACCCTCTTTGTTTCCCCTCCTCTGCGCGAATTCGAAACCGCGTCGACCGGAGATGGGAAAAGGAAAAAAGAAAAAAGGGAAGCGGAAAACGCGTTCGACTGTCGCGAGAGAAAGAGAGCGAGAAAGAGAGAGAGAACGAGCTAGCGAGCGAGCGAGCGAGTGAGTGAGGGAGCGAGAGACAATTTCGAGACGAACGGCGGGAAGCCAACCCGAAGTTTTCACCCTCTCGACCGCGGGGAGAACTAAGGTGCGCCGTAATTGTAGAAATAGGTCCTCGCGACTTTCGGTGTACCGGTGAAATTGCCAATGTCCCATAGGATCTCGACGATGGTCTTTCGCTACCTCACCGACTTGCCCAACGGGCTGACTTTGATTCGCGGCGTCAACACCGGGACCGGGTCGAGCTCCGGCAGCGAGCACTCGGCGCGCAACTCCGTCCACGTCCTGTCCACGCTCGCGGCGAGCCGATCCTTGTACTTGTAGGCCGTGCGATCGACGGTGGACTGCGTCTTGATACAATCGTCGCCGCCGAACTCGCATACGCGATAGTGGTGCAGAATCGCGGCGTCCGACGGCACGTTCAGGGTGCCGTGACCCGGGATGAACTCCCAGACGAAGTGGTTGCCCGCCTCGACCACGTCCTGCGGCTTGCAGATGTACTTGGAGCGTTGCTTGTGCGGGTGCAGCTTGGTGCGACGGCGCGTCTTCTTCAGGGTAATCAGGCCGGCCTCGGTGGGAGTGCGGCTGGTCACCACAAACGGGTCGTCGGCCCATTGCAGATAGAAGAAGGCGTTTTGAAAGGAGAACGCGCCCGTGGACTTGATATTGATCCGATTTCCCATCCACCTGGCAAAAGCAATTCGCCGTGGGATTAACGCGCGCGCTCGCGCGCCCCGGAAACGTCGCATGCTAGTCCGAGTCGGGCGCCCCCGGCAAAAAATTAACGAGCGTCACCCGGTGATTCCGCGGCGCTTTACGTTTCAATTTTCTCGCGGCGGAGCGATCGCGTTCGAACGTTCGCACGAATGTGTGAATATCTCGCGATACCAGCGAAAACACCGTTGGCTCCCAAGTAAATAACTGCTGGCGAGGTACCGGTTCAGTGCCAATTTTTTGGTAAATAGTATTAGACGCGAATACCGATTTGATATTGGTGGGATGATAACAATGGGCCAAGACTCGGAAAATAATACTGTGCCAGTTACCAATATCGCAAAGGTACCAAGAATTACATCGATAAAAGGAATTAGCCGTCCATATAATACAACTAAAATTTAGCCGCCAGAACTAGTTTTTAGCTATAGTGTCTAAAAACAGGGACAAATAAAATTAGCTACATTAACGAAATTTCAGTTGTATTGGACAGTTAATTTTGATCTACGGCAGCTCCAATTCTCTAATTCTGTGTATCGATTCCCAATACTGGGACAAGCAGTATTGATTCCCAGCAATGATTATTATTACTGTGTAATTGTCAATACTACAAGGTATATCTTTATCGGTGATAATAGCACGCTATTGCGTGATAATTATATAATATTTGTATATGTGTCACTACTTTTCTTTGTATCTATTTAGGATCTCAAGTAAAGCAGTTATATCAGCCACAATGCTGTTTGCCTCGCCTATTGGATCTCTTTATATTCGGGACTAATTATTATTATTATTATTATTCTGTGAAACAAAGAGTCAGCTATGACCGGAATGTTTGTACCTACAGACTTTTAATATCATATGAGATGAAAAACATCGAAGCAAAGCAGATTTCGGCTGGAACCGAACTCAAGTCTTGCTAAGCAACCGCTTATCCCTGAGCTGTTTAAGTTCCACGTAAACGACATCTCTCGCTTTCTTATTTAAAGCATTGGTACCGAAGTGCGTACTTGAATACCGAGTTCCGGTACCTCGTCAGTTTTCCAGTGTTGGCCGAATGCATACGACTTCCGCATGGGCATCCCTGGCTTTTTCTCTCGATGTATACGACGTGTACGCGATAGCGATAAGCGCACTTTGCGCTAATGTCGAGAAGCCTTACCGCAGCAGGTCGATTATGGTGTCGTTGTGCCTCGGTATAATGTACTCGTCGAGGTCCACGAGCGCCACGTACTCGTACTTGTACATAGACCGGTAGAGGCAGTCGTTAAGCGCCGCGAAGAGGCCCTCCGTGCGAATTTCCCGCTGGGAAATCATGTCCAGATGATGCCACGGTAACACCGTAACCAGATCCTTGCTCTCGTAATATTTAAGCGCGCAGCCGGCCGCCGCGCCTACGGTGTCATTGTACAGAGTGACGTGAGTGGCGCCCAGGAGTCGGTGTAACTCGATAAATTCCACCAGTTGCAAAACCTGAATGAATGTCACAAGGTGAAACGCGCGCGACGAGAGCGCGAAATGACGACGATAACGCTCGCGACGTTCATCTCGCGATCTCACAACCAGAGGCTACCTGTCGAGTTTCTCTTCTTTTCCGCGTAATTCATTTGAACAATTGCGATCCCAACAAACCAAGGGCATCCCTAGCGGGACTATTTTCGAATCGGGAAAAAGAACGACCACCCATCTCGCGAGGTGTCCGAATGATCGCGCAAAGGTCACTCGGTATAGCCGTTATTCGTGCGATCGACGTACCCTGTTGTAATAATAATGCAAAGGCTTCACGCAAACGGCCAGGGCCTCCTTGTCGCTCGTTCTGCTCTCGAGGCGATTCTGCACGAGGATGCGATTCGTCGGGGCAGCCCGCAGCCTCGCCACGACACTCACCGCCTCCGGCACCTTGTCCGCCGTCGGGGATTCTTTAGGCAACGGACATATCACGAAGCAGGCACTGTATTTCAGATTCCAATTCTCCCGGATCACCTGAAAGCCAGCGCCACGTGCCACAACGTGCCGACCACTCCACCAACAGCGAAAGGGGAACGTGCGAGGGGGTATGTTCGAGCGAAGAAACAAACATTAGCCGCCGATAAAACGACGAGCAAACAATTCATCGTGCATCTTCTTCCCTCCTCTGTAATTTTCGGTGGCTCGAATGAAGACGATTCGATCAATTTTACATCGGTTAAATACACAGACCTTATAAGGAAACAAATAGGTGTCTCGTACACAGAACATAGGTGTGTGTGAGAGAGAACAAAGGCACCGAATCAGGCTTGCACGTCGATAACATTCGCGAAGAAACTTATCTCGGCGGGTGAGAGACGAGGAGGAAAATAATAAATTTTACAGGAGCGGGGTGGAAATTCGATAAGCTCCGGGCACGGAGGGGTCGATCGTTCCTCAGGGCTGACACCGCGCGCACAGGAGCGTACCTTAACTTTGGCAGCTACCGTTACCGAGGCAGTGACATTCGCGCCGTTCTGCTGTCGATACCAGAGCCTACACCAGACGCGTTCCGGACCTCTGGTTTTAGTAGCGCTGATCACACGCACCACACCCTGGCTCTTGGCCGCCGGGGTGCCGGCGCCGCTGACTCTGTCGTCGAAGTACGCCGAGTAAACGAAGAATTTGAACCTGCAAGGGCGAGGCAGAAACGCGACCGTCCGCGATGCATAATTCATTTCTCACCTTGTCTAAAAGTCTAATACAGCGGGAATAGTAACCAAAACCCCTTCTCTGTTGCTCTCGCGTTGAGCGCCGCCGCGAATAGGGTGAAATCGAATTTTATCGATAGATTGATATTTCGAGAATCCTCCGCTCGCGATACGAGAGCGAGATGGAATTCTCGATAAATCGACGCTGCCAAGATCCTCCGCGTGATAACGGAATTACAACACTCGGCTGGGAAACGTCCGCGTTTTCTCGCTGGGTGCGACGTGCGCGCGCGGTATTGTAAACATCGTTCCACGACGCGACAATTAACAACGAAATTAATTTGCCGGGCGCGATCGATCGTTCGATCCGCGCCTTTGTTTACCGCGCGGAAGAATCAAATCGGGACTTCATAATTAAACGCGCGCGAGGCGCCGAGAACTGCACTCCTATACGTCGCGGCAAGGCCGAATTTAATAATAACGCCGTGAGAGTAATTCAGCGCGAAATGGCACGACCTTTGTTCCATCGCGTGGCTGGCGCGAATTTAACAAACGCGAGCTCGGGACACGAAAGACACCGTTCGCCGCTAATTACAGGGTTGGTTCGCGCGAACCTACCTACATAGTATGTACGTACCTCGTATTGGTAACTGGCAACCATTCGGCATGCGTGACCTTCAGGTTCTGATCCAACTGCGGCAGACGGGCCTCCAAGCTGGGCGGTAAGCTCGGTAAGCCACGCGGATCCGGGTGTATCGCCGTCTTCTGCCCGCCGTCCTCCCCGTGAACCAATAACCCGACGTGCTCGTCGAAGCTACCTTTCAAACCGGCATAATCTTCGGCCTGAAGACACCAAGATCCCCCCCTGGAGTAACTCGCGCGTTGTCCCGGGAATCCTCGTGTTAGATCGCGCGGGACCAGTCGGGGTTGGCTCAATCCGCGCGATCCAACCAATTCCATTACCCGCGACAACAATGGACACACACATTGTTGCAACCGCGAGATGCGGAACGAAGTGAGCAAGTAAGCTCGAGGGGTCATCCTTTCCCGGCGGAAGTCTATGACGATTCAAAGAACGTTGAACTTTCTCTCTTCGTTTTCGCGACCGCTTCCTCGGACGATTTATAATTCGCCGGAGAATTCTACCGATCTGGGAAATCCGAGTTACAGATAAATCCTCGCACTTTTCTCCAAGTCACGCGCGCACACTTTTCAAAAAGACGAATGAGAGTTCCGAGATTCGTGCGTTCTGCGGATTACGGCTCCGATATTCGTTTGGATCCGACTGTATCCGGATATCCGATTATTCGGATAGCGGATTAACGTGACGCTTCAAATCCGGATCGGAAGTCGGAGTCGAATCCGGATCTAAATTCGTGGCGGAATCGATCAAACAAACACGATCGCAGTAACTTAGATCCCTTTCTAATGGAATATTTAACAATCTTACGTGAGAGGACATTAGTCCTCTTAACTTAAACCTCTTTAATCCTCTGAACTGTCAAGATAAATATGTAATTTCCGCGATGGCAGTCTTCACGACAACCGCGAAACAAAGCTAGGGGCCATTCAACAATTCACGCTAAAAGTGGGTACTTTTCCATCCCCTTCGTCACAATTTCGTTTCAAAATATTTGACTCCTTCTAATATTACGTAACATATGAAATTATCCCCCGTCGTACTTAAAATTTAAAAATAGCTTATAATCATATTATAGTAAATATTAGGCTGCACGCTACTATCTTTTCCTAAAGACAAATATAAATCTAAATACAAACAATTGTTAGGCATGTAATATCAAATTAATTACTTTATTTTATAATTTTGAATAGTAAAAGTTGTGTTTTTAAAGGAATAAATATTTAAAAATCAATATTTGAATATTATTGACACAAAACCATGTCAAAACTTAAAAATTTTCACCAAATGTGTCACGAATGCAAACAAAGTGGATAATCACGTGCATATATATTTACAAATTATGCCATTTAATATGACATGGTCTTTACTTCTTCCCTCCCTGTCATCACGGACCGTCACGTAAGCTAATAGATCACCCCTCTCCTCGTAGTATGATGTAACTGTTGAATGACCCTTAAGCAACGACATGCATCGAGATCGAAATTTCAAGACAACTAATCAACATCGTGGAGAACAAGCTACAGAGCTTCTGCACAGAGAAAATCATTTTACTCGAGTAGCAAATTCTTTGTTAATAGAGTGACAGCAAAAAGATTTGTTACACGGAAAAAATAATTTTGCTGTTGTAGCAAAACGTTGCTGCGACAGCGATAAAATTTGGTTGGCATAATCAAAAATACTTTTAACAAATCACTTTGCTGCAAACAAATATTTTATCTCGTTTCTGGATTCGGGTCCGATTCAGGGCACGTATTATGGACTTGTTCGAAATCGATTCCGATCGGAATCTTTTCGTTATTCCCCTTAGACTTTCTCTTATATTTCATAGGGAATAATTGAGCGATCCCGATCGGAATCAATTCCGAAAGAGTCCACTGCCCATTACGTGCCCTGGTCTGAACTTGTACATGGATTACCCGAATAGTGTGGATTTGAGCGGTCGGGTCGGAGTCGATCTCGGATATCCGGATAATAAGATACCCGAGTACTTGGGAGCCCTATTGCGGATCATCGTTCAAAATGGGATTCAGCCGGGTGACAACGATGTGAATATGCCGAAGACCGGTGATTTCGCACTCACTTCCTCCCGTCGTCCCGGGATCAACGTTTCAATCACCGCGCGCGCTAAGCCCGACTGAAAATGACTGCTGACGAGGATATTCTAACGGTTATCGGGCATATCTGCAGGATCGGCGGTGTCATTAAATTAAATGTGACAAAGGCCGTTAATATTACAATAATATCAATCGCGACCGTTGTGCGTATTCCCGGTGATTACAGGGATCATTCGTGTAATTATTGACATCGACCACGCTCGATGAGTATACATTACGGTATCGCACGTGAAAATATATTCCGCAACGGTCGACGAGAGTTGTTTATCCCGGATCAGTGGCCGTTATCGATAACAACAATTAACGTTAGCGCTTTAACCTCCGCTAACAATTCGCGTTATCTCCGATCGCGGTCGATTCGAGCAAAACGGAAAGAGAGAAAGAGAGAGAAAGCCAGAGCAAAAAAGGGAGATCAAGAGAGGGCTCATAAATATGACGCTTGACGAGGACGGTGCGATGGTCGAGATGTTAAACTTCAAAATTCCCGGGATCGTCGACTCTTCGGGGTGAGTTTTCCAGAATACTTTGGGACTCGTGCGCGACTCCGCCGTGAGAGACGGAGAGAGAGACGTAAACGGATGAAGAAAGTTCCGCGGGATTGAGCAAACTAATTTGTCAGTCAGGCGCTCGGTCGTATCCGGTTAAACTTTTCCGCAGCGGTTGTGTGTCTTTTCCAGGCCGCGGCCGACTCCTTCTGCCTTCTCGCACGCGCGCCCGTCCATGTTTCTTCTCCTCCAACTTGCGGATTCGCGTGAATCATTGTCCGGCGCGCGAGGGTGCATAAACTACACCACCGGGCGCATTGCAACAGGCATCGAGGCGCGAGGGCTGAAAGGGCACGACGACGGCATACGTCTGCGTCTCGGGAAAAATCGATGTACCTCTAGCTACATGCGGTCTACGAAGTTTTCGGCCTTTTCGCCTGAGTTCCGCCCTGGAACGTTCGCTTTGTTCGTGCTCCACGTGGACAAAGAGCGACGTTGTGCAAAAGTCGCCCCCCCCTCCCCTCCCGCGTCGAGCGCGTTCTCGAAGGTTCGTGTCCTTTAGCTCGCGGCGGAAAATGCTCGCAGGATTACCGAGGGAGCAATAACGGATGTATAAAGAGACACCGGGGGGATATAATATACTCGCGTATTTCGCACGCGAGGAAGCAGACGCGGCGGAATAAAATAAGATTCGCGATGCAGCAGACGGGACGAGTGCGAGGAGTGATAAATGCGCGGAAACGGCGCGCTAATTGGAGCGGTTCGCCCGTTTCGAAAAATCCGCGCGAGTGGCATGGATAATGCGCGGAAACGCGAACAACGCGCGAAAGATAAATAAGAAGCCGGTTAACCATTCGCCACGGCGAAGTAATGCTCTGTTTTCATACCCGCGGCTATTTTCATCCGGAGCGCGCCGAAGAAGGATACAAGCTCACACTTCTCTCAGCGGTCCGCGCGTTTTTATTTCGCCGGAAGTTTAATTATGAGCATTAAGCGTAACTTAGTTCAGACCGGGTTTTATACGTGAGGTAATTCGCCGACGAGCGAGCGAACGAGCTTCTGCGCACAACGGGGAATGTGTTCAAGTTCCGAGAGTTTTCCGGATATCTATTTTTTCTCTTCTTCTATCTCGTCTTCTTCTTTCTCTCTTTCTCTCTCCCTCTTCCGATCGGAATATGACCCCGTGCACCTGATTATTACTACCAAAGGCACAGAAAGAGAGAGAGAGACATTTCCGGCGAGTTACTTCGACACTAAAAATCGCGCCGCGGGCTGCAGAGATTCCGAAAGTCTTCTCTTTCCCTCTATCTCTTTTATCGAGCCCTCGAACCGCGTCGGTCGCCGGCGTAAATTCCAAAGTTGAACGCTCGAAAGAGATCGCAGCGGCAAACATTCCGCGTGCGTCGTGAAATACTGCGCTGGGTGAGATAAATATGCCGCGAGATTATCGGATTTATTAATCGCTTTGTGCCGGCAAGCGGCTTTGCCGTGGCTTTCGCACCTGTCAGAAACATATCGGGCTTTTCTAGCAGAAAAAAAGAAGGAGAAAACAAAATACGCGGCAAGCCGGCGGAAATCTCACGGTGTCGCTTTGTCTTTTTTCGGTCTACATTTTCCTCCGTGTTCTTTCTCAACGCGTTGCCGGCAAATGCCGCTTTTTCCGCGTAATTTCGGCGCCGGCGTTCACGTACACGGTGAATTAGAATTGAACTCATGCTAATTAAATCAACGGTGGAATAAAATGTCGCTGCACGTACGGTCGAAAACGTCCGGAGAAAAATGACACCGCGAACCAGATGGGATAGTCGAGAGAGAGAGAGAGAGACAAACGGAAAGACGCGTTCCGAGATACGTCCTCCGAGGATAGACCGGCGCACTCGCAGAGTGTAACGCAATTCAAAGTTCCGGAAACAATTTAACAACAAATTAGTTACAATTCGCACACGGCAACGAGACCGAGAGCAGCTGAGCAAGCGACTATTGCGAGAGAGAAGATAGCGGTGAGTAATGTTCGTTCACGCAAAACTAACAAGATGAAGTGAAGACGACGGCGGACAAAGTGCGAGGAGCGCTCACATAGTCGTCTATATCATTCCTTTATTATCGGAACAGCTCTTGGAAAACGTCTGCGTCCACATGTGTGCGCAAACGAGAGAAAGCGAGACGGAGCAGCACCGAAATGGGAATCAATTTCTTCAGCGAGAAGGAAGAGCGATTAAAGTGACGTCGTCAGGGTAGGATCAGCTGGGACGAGGTTATATAAATCGCCGAGCGGAGGGAATAGCCGTACTACTTACTCCTACTTCGCCGTAATCCGGACGATCGGGCGCAGCTGGCAATCGATGACCGCTTCTGTGACCCCCGAGTACGCCGGTGCCGCCTACGCTCACGCCGCGTCTCTCGTCGATCAGGAATATCTCCGTGAGGACGATCAGGCCGAACACAGCGAAGAACATGACGACCAGCATGAACGACATGTTGGCACGTTCCTTGAGGACACCGGCGTTCGCCCGGCTCCCGCCCGAGCCGGCTCTTCGGCCGCCCATGCTCTGGCAGGCTCTGCAAGTGACAAGCTTGAGAAGGGGAAGGAGGAAAAGTGCCGGGGAAGGCCGACCTCCGAGGTCGCCTTGTCGAAATAAAAGGAGGCTTCCGAGAGCGTGACTTGTAGATTTTTTTTTGCGACGGCAAAAAGAAAGTGATACTTCGCGAAGACGATTAGTATCTTGATTTTTTCTTTCGATCGCACATTTAAAGGGGTTTCCTCATTTGGAACGTTTTGTTTGGTAGATGAGTTGCAGGCATTTTTTCAAGACACAAAATTCTGAAATTTTCCATAAATATTTATGTATATTTTAATTATATACACATTACTATCTTCAATATTAATAAAGTTATAAGTAATTTTATTAACGTTGAATGGCAAAAAAATGATTAAATTATAAATTTGTAACTATCCTCCCTATTCAATATTTTTAATATTTCGATTTTTCAAAAACTTGCAGAGTTGAAAAAACTGGCTAAAAATAGGGTTTTCTCTTATTAGTCGTGTCATTTTGTCAAAAAATAATTTTTATTCTCTATTATGGTAGGAACGATAGCCACGAGTTTGTAGTTTAACAATTTTTTGCCGTTTCGGTTTCAGAAGTCTGCACGGAAAAAAAAGTTTGGTTGAATTTACCAGACAGTGAATAAACCAAACGCGTTTTGGTTGAAGAAAACAGAATTTCTGGTTCTCATGGCTGAAATTCGGTTCTTATAAGCGGAAAATCTGTTTCTTTCAAGCAAAACGCGTTTGGTTCGTTCACTGACTGGTAAATTCAACCAAACTTTCTTCTCCGTGTACAACTGTCTGAAATCGTGGCAACCATGCGAGCAAAACTTTCGCTCATGCTGCACAAAATTATATGTAACTTTAATAATATGAAGATAATAACGTGTAGAAATTATTATATACGGTCAAAACATTGATAAAATGTCTACAAAACTTCAGAATTGTATATTTCATAATATTATATAGTTTTTCTAAAAAGGAATTCTGAAGATCACCTACAAGACGAGGTTACAGATGAGAATACCCCTTTGATGCTAATCGCAGTCGATTATTTCCAAGATGAAATAATGGACGAGAAATAATGGCGAATATATAAGACCGCTCGAGATTATTTCGCTGATGCGCGGCTCGTGATTCGACAGTCTGTCAGACGCGCAATTACCGTTCGATGCTGCTGCGAGATTAGCGTCGATCTCATCTCCCCGAGAAATCGCGAGTCGAAAATCCTCCCTCGTCTACCGTCGCGTACGTATACGATCATCGATCCCCGTCCGCCGGTTAAGCATTTCGGTTTCTCAAACGAATCCGTCGAGCATGGTCTACCGCTGATTAAATTGAATTTGCATAATTAACACGCCGCGGAAAGGTGGTATTCTATTATTCACTTGGCACTCGCTCTCTCGCTTGCGCGCAAGTCGAGCTTACCGTACCGTGATTCGCGAATATCGAATAACACGCGCATTAATTAATTCCTCGCTGATCGTGTCACAGGGGATTTTTAATATAAAAAATTACAACCTCTCCCTTTCTTCCAGCGGGTCTGGCCGCCCGATACATCGGTAGTCCCGGTCGGATTACGCTGGTGTACGCGGTATATTCAGCGGCAAGATATCAGCGGATATATTCGACACACGGTTTTTCCGATAGCGCGGACCTCCGGAGTTTCTGACATGGCAATGTTCCGCAGACACGACAAGCGCACACATCCTAAAACCGGCGGGGAACAGAACGGAAACGGAACGGGATAACAGGACAGGCGGGCGGGCGGCGCATGTACAGTACACACTTGCACAGACCGATACAGCTCGATACAGGGAACGAACTTCTCTCAATCGTCGAATTCAGACGAGATCGAGCGCGCGTTTCGGCGGTCCCGGCTTAAAACGCGGAGGAAAACTTTGTTCACGTGCCGCGGGACGACGAATAAAACTGCCATTCGATAGCGTCGACGTGAATAAACAAATCCTACTCCCGCGAATAAACACGGGCGAAATACCCTTTCCGCGATACAGCGTGCTCGCGCGATTGTACAACGGCCGGAACGCAATTTCACGTTTCGATCGGCCGCGCGCGCGCCACGTGCGGCACGTATAATGCAACCGTTAAAATTTTACGGTCTTAAGTGCCCGCGAGCCTTCGTGTTTACATCCCCCCCTCCGCGCGATATACGGCCTCGTAATCTCGGGGAAAAAAGGAGTTGCAATGAGACGAGAGACACGATCAACGTATAATGCAAATAATATAATTTGAAATGCGAGTATATTTATGATTACGCGCGTGCAATGCCAATGTAAACTTTTTAATTTATTCATGTGCGAAATGTCAAGGAGGGTAAAGTGTGCAAATATATGCGAGAGAGAGGGAAATTTAATTCGGTTCGCAGTCCTCGCGTTGAATTCTGTTATCGGATATAGCCGGCGTCTATTTGTATCGCGCGTTGCGAGATAACTCCGCGGCACAAAGGGACTTAATTGAGAAAATTTTCATTACACTATCTGTCGACTTACTTAAAGTTGGTCCGGGAAAACCGCTGCCAAGCATGGGGACGGTAGCTCCTTCTGGAAATAATTACGGATATCATTAATTCGTTTCCCCTTTTTTTTTCCGTCGCCCGGCGGCAAACGTTTCGCAATTTGCGCGCTCGCCGCGCAATTTCAACTCGCGTATTAACCCCTCGGACTCCTCGCCCCTACTCCCTTCGGCAACCAAACGCGCCTCTTCGACGACGATTGGCGATATTTTATCGTCCGCAACTGTGCGCGCCGCTAAAGCGAAACATTTTACCGCAGCTCCGCGTAGAAAGTCGTGTTTTATCGGTATATAAATAATCGCAATGTAAAATATTACAATATTAACAAAAATCAGAACTAGTTTTTTTAAGCTTCGGAACGTCAATATAATTTGACATTTAACGACAAACTTCGAAGATTCGAAGTTGAATTACTCGAAGCTTCGAACTCCATTCGAATATCGAAATTGTTGATAAAAATAATTTTGGAGAGTGTAACACAATGTTGTGCAATTAGAGAGTACCAGTTTCATCTGGAATATTAAGACGTCCTAATTCTAAGATGTCGTAAAGATGTCTTTTAGACGACGAATTTTCCACACTTCAAAATTTCATTGTTCAAATATAATGTCTCAGAGGTTCAGAAATTTCTAAGCTACGAAAAGACGAAATTACGAATGTAATTTCTAGCCCTGTTAGTAAATGATAAAAAGGAATGTCACAAATGAGAGGATAATCGCTGTTTACTTAGCAATTACCGCGAAAGTGACGATTACGGCGGCTTTACCGCCGTCGTTGCGATAACAGAGCCTTCATCCACCTGGTGCCGTAATTATGACTTACATCTTATTTACTATCAAATCCCATTAACGCTTCGTGAACTCGCGGTACACGTCCGTTAGACAGAATTCTGACAGCGCGGAATAATTCGGCTCGATGTCGGGGGAGACGACGTCGAGTAGATTCGCTCGATAGCGAGAGCTTTGCGACGCCGGTAAGACTTCGCCTTCGTCTTTCGCGTGCATTAACGCAGAAACGCGCCCGCATTGAGAATATTTTTACGATACATATCTGATTAGACGTTCAAAGTAGTGACGCTAACGCAGCCGCGCGTCTGACCGGATCGCCGACATAAATTACACGAACTTACGACAGTCGACACTTTTAATGGCTGGGTCGCGTGCGACTGTAAAATGGTTTTATTGAAAAAAAAAAAAGAAAAGAAAAGTCCCACGAGCGCCGATCAATCTCGAAAGCACATAATAAAAATCCAATTCATCGCACGAGTTCACTCGTAATATTATAACTTCACGTCTCGCACGATATCGAGAACTATTATCAAACCGCTATTTATTCTACGAAATTGCTCGATTGATTGACGTCAGATAAAGGACGCTCTAATATTGATGCATAAAATATTGGCACAATTTATATGAGAGTGAGAGAGAGAGAAAGAGAATAGTCTACGTGACAGCTTTGTGTGCAAATTTATTTCGAATCGCGAGTAGACACTGAGCTTTCTTCTTAAAATATCGGAACGATCTCGTCGCGAAAGTGAAGCGTCGCAGATCCTACTGGAACATTAACGAATTCCTCGCATTAACCTCTTCGTATATTTACACAATTAAATCGTTATCGTTCGTGGAACTATTGTCTTTCCAGGGAGCCTCTGAGCGCCTTAAATAAATAAATACGCTCCGGCTCGCGCTCGCAAGGTCTTGCCACCGAAGATTTACGTTGCAATTTATCTTCCGGTGACGGGTTTCGTCGTTTACAGAAAGCACTTCGTAAAAAGGGCAATGTAGTCGTAGCCGGGCGCTATACGGGGTGTTTCAGATTTAAGGAAAGATATTTTAGTTCCCCTAGCAATTTATATGCAGACTACAGATACCGTAATCGCGACTCGAAACATTTCGGACGTGTTATGATTCACGATACGGCAAACTAATGCGATCCTCGACGCATGTATTTTTCATCTCATTTAGTTGGCTCTCCATTGGCCATATTCGTTTTAATTTATCATACGTTAATTATGGCTCATACGTAAATTGATGAAATATGCCAGTATCATAGCCGCGTATCACATCAGTGTTCAATGCCGCGGTGCAATGAAATCCAAATTATGAACATGATATTTCGCAAAGCGTGATATATTTTTTAAATATTTTTCATAATCTAATTTTCACACTGAATCCATATACACGCTGTATACGCGTAGCGCGAAACATTGTTAACCAGATCCGCGATACCGAGGACAATAATTCGTCGGCAGGGAGAGCCGCAGTGAATAAATCATCGTATGGTCAGCCGGCCGGCTGACCGGCCAGCCGTCTGCTGTCTCTACTTGGACTCGAGCTTGCTTTTCGGCTGCCACAGCCTCGTCCGGGCTACCTTTTTACGCGAACCAAAGGAGGCGGTCGGGTCCTCGTTTCAACCGTATTACGTTGGCTTCGCATGAATAGAGAACACGACCCAAAGCCGTGCCGAGACACGCCGCGAGTATCGCAATAAATTAGCGACGACGCTTAACGCTTCCGCCGACGGGTAATATTACACTGTGGAATAAATGAGCGACGAACCGTCTGTGCCGCGCAGTTAATCACGCCCTACGTCAAAGGTGAGGCGAAATTACGGTAGTCTTGGAGGTGGCGGAAATTAATAAATTGAGAAAAATTCGCCGCGCTGAGAAGGCGAGGAACGCGTTTTTCGGATATCTTATCGGCTTATCGTCAGGGAGCACTATTTCTCATACCTGTTAACGAGCCATGATTAAGGGGAGCAGGGCCCACGTTTGATTTACTAGTCGAGAAAAGGAGCCGAAAATCGGATCACCGAGCTTTCCGCATTTCAAAATCGTCCTTGCGGATTTCAGAACTTCGAGTCACAGCGTGCGGCACGATAAAACGGCGCGAGTAATTTCGCAAGATAAATAAAGCGCGAACGTGTTCCCGTCTTAAATTGCGTCATCGTGGCCGACCTCGTGATCGTGGACGACCACGTCGCGACCTGTTTCTCCCGATGTGTATTTCTTGGACGGTTATATCGGACGGAAATGAACGCAGGAGGCCTCAAAAGGCAATCTGGCCAGTTTGACCGCGACGGATATTATTTCCTTCCGCCTGTTGCGCCGAATCGATTTCTCCGGTTCGGCCATAATATGTTCGAACATCGGAAGATTTCCTCCGCTTTCTGACGTCGTGACCGGCGGGTAATACGACGCCGCCAAAGATAGCTCCAACATCGTCGTCGTCGTTGTCATCATCGCCGACGACGACGGCGACGGCGGCCTCAAAAGGGCCTTTTGGAAGCGGTTATCTTCCTTGTAGAAATTGCGGAACGGTAACGCTGGAAGCGCAGGGAAATTTGTACGCCCTTTCACCGGTGGTAGGTAGGTACGACGTTTTTCGATATACTATTTGGTCCCTATGGGCCGCGCTTCTCGCAGATTCTATTTCAAGAATTTACGTGGTAAAGCGATGTAATTTCGGTGACATAATATCGATATTTCGAGTCGCAGGCAACCAATAGCGGTCTGTAACTTGAAAGTGACACGGGGGAAAATATTCCTGCGGACTCTAAATCGGTGTTCCTCGAACCGTTCTCGTGGGGCTTACAGGAAGAAATATAATATTATCTCGGAATTGAGGGAATAAATACAAGATCGGGCAAAATGGACTTTTCCCCCCGCGAGAAGGGAATTCGTGATATTAAATGATTGTGGAATATTCGTTCTCCTCATCTGCGAATGAGCGAGGGTTCACCCGAATGTTTCACCCGAAATATTTACAATCGTACTAACGGTAATCATATGATTATTATTATTATTATTATTATTACCTTTATTTAGTATTGTATTGAGTATAATACAATATAATTATATGAATGATTGGTAAAATAATAATACTCGATGAGGCGACAACGAAATTGCTAGTATGAGCTCCGGAACGTGGGGTGAATCAATTAGCGTGGAAATGAACGTGAGAAATGCTCTATCAAAGATATCACAGGTAACTTAAAACGTATTATACGTGATATATCGGTGAATATTACATTGTACATTACTCACTATAAAGGGAAAAAGACGTATAGCCTTTAAAATACGAATTTTAGGACCAATAAACGAAGGAGCGCATCCGTCTACTGTTTGATTTTCTCTGGAATTCGCTCGATATTCAATATCTTTAATATTAATAACGACTTATCAAGGATTTTTATTACACGAGTCGCTGGACAGGCGCTCCCCTCCCCCTCTCTCTCTCTCTCTTTTGCGACTCCATCCAGGATCTCGACATTTAGCGAGCTGGAAACGAACGATTCATTAAGGTAGGCACGCCGGCGAGTGATTTATTTTGCACGATGGAAACAATAAAAGCCACTGCTGCGTACAATGACGATGAAATCGTCGTCGCTAATTGCGGCGTGACGTTAAGTTCTTCGTCAACGACGAGTGACAGTTTAATTGCAGGTTCGAGTGACGACACGAAAGAGGACGCGGAGTTTTTTTGTGATCACTGGGAAACAAGCGCGCGTATCCACGGACGACGGGCCGCGGTTATAATTAGAAGATTATGTGAGGAAAGCCCAAGAGGAACGGGAGCGATGATCGAGTGAGAAATCGAGTATCGATTCCCTACTGAGAAAGAAGGATAAGCGCGAACCGCGAAGAACGCGACCACCGTTCGAAAGTTTTCGCAGCATAGCTCGCGCCCGGAGAATAGCGAATTAATCTTAAAGTTCGCAAGGTAATCTAAAGAGGGTAAATTGAGAGGCAAGTAAATTTCGCGGCATTGTATCGGAAGATTTCGTAATTTTACGAAGAGCAAAATTTATACGCAAGAACGAGTAACCGAATACGAATAATCGTCCGACGATAATTCCGTCCGTGCTCGCGTGAGAGATACATCTGCGTGCTCGTATATTATCGCATAAATCGTATAAATATTTTTTAATTTATCGCACTTTCGCAGGAGGATGGAATTGTGTAAACGGATTTGTGTAAAAAGTGAGGATAAAGCACGATGATAATTTTTCCTACAGCTTATCGGGAATTTACGGCACGCAATTCACGATGCACATTTTTATTAATTCATCCGCCTCTTCTTTCGCAAATTCAATCTAATGGATGTCCTCGGGCGGTCTGATTGCTCATCGATCGTCAGGAAAAGGCCTATTATGCCACTCTCTCTCATGCACGTGTCCGTACTAATAAAAGAATGAATAACCTCTGACCGCGTGCCCGCCTTAAAATTGAACGTGATTATTCTATGGGCTCTTTCCTTCTCTCTCTCTCTTTCTCTGTCTCCTTGTATGTTACGCTCTGACAGTCATTGAGCGGAACCCACGGTCAGTCGATAAAACTCACGGCGCGCTCGTTAACGATAAACGAGCATTAAGCGGAAATCTCAAGATAGACGATTCATTAGCGGCCCACGCGAATTGCAAAACGAGCTCCGGCCGATGACGACCGGCTAACTAAGCGTCGACGTTTCCGTAATATCCGTGCCGACGACGTTCAGGCAATCGCGATCTCGGATCTCTGCCGCGCGGATACCGTCACGATGTCTGCAGACGAATGGACGTGATTTTTCATAAGTGACGCGCGGATGAAGGCACAGTGGAAAAAAAAGACGCGTGATTCCGTTTCGTTCTTTTTCCATCCTTCCTGTTGTCGTCGCACGCTGCGCATGGACGACACTTAATCCCCTTATCTCGAGGTCGCTTTATCTAGTGTCCGTTCGCAAGCATTCACCCGTCGGGATTACGTAAAACGGGCTACGAGAAAATCGGTCACTAAACCGTCCCCGCCGGATATCGACGGCGATGTTAGCGGCGGCGGCGGCGGACGGATGATTTATTTTTCGCCGCACGTCTCTCTCTCTCTCTCTCTCTCTTTTTGCGCCGTCGAATGCGTCGGCGAAGGGAAGTCGTTGACGGAAGGGATTTCACCCTTAATACCGGTTGACGTAGTACGTCGCTCGTCTGAGAGGGCGGATATATATAGTGGCGCGGCTCGATAGAAAATTACTCGATTCCGCCGACCGCAATAAGCGTCTGCCTTCTATCTTTGTACACGAATGCAATAACGATAAATATTAATAAAGCTCGGCGGGGCAGGCGTATCGAAGAGAAAGAGGTCCTTAAGGGCGCCTCGCTCTTAATATTGGATGAAGCAGCACATCGGAAATATACACGTATAAAGGAAGACGTCGCGGCTCGTTACTCAATTCCTGTTTGCGATATCATAACGACTTCGGGCTTAATTACTGGGAATTACGCTAAGTGATTAACTTAATCGCGTCTGTAATTACACGCGTTTGCGCGATCTTTCGACTGTACACACGGTTACTGTCCCCGTCGTTTCAATTTCCATGAGTCTTTTTTTTCTTATCCCGCACAGAATGCATTTTTACTTTACGCTCTTTTTACACTTCAGCTTTTTCTTTCAATTTATTTAACGCGCGTGAACGTGCGCCTGTAACAGGCGCGACGAGAACTATCGGGAGGGGGAGGGGGGGGGGNCAAGTCAACGATTGATGTGGTATGCGTGATTTTTATTTACATTTATCGCGATGTCGCGTGCGCGTGATTTTCATGTACGTTTATCGGCCGACGTTCGTCCATTATTATATAACACGCAGGTAATAGGGATCGCGAGGTCGGATGGAACCAACAATGACACGATCGAAAGTAATCGTGACGCAATGAAGATTACATTGACAGAGAAGCGATAACGTGAAATTTCGCGATAACGTGAAATTTCGCGATAACGCGAAGGTCGGTTCCGGCGATAGCGACTCCGAATGTGTTTCTACACATGTCATGAATATTTGTGTCAAACGTCATCAGTTGACGTAATTTTTTAAATATTTTACACGTACATCGGTGTTGCTATTTCGTTTACGATAAAGACCGAAATAAATATGCATTATTGCGAGAGAGCGTTTACCGGACGATATTTTCAGCTCGCGTTAAAAGCGATGATTTATTGCCGAGTTTATCTATATATTGAATAAAGATCCATTATGCACAATATTTTAGGGGTTCTCGCGTATACCTTGTGTGGTGCAACGAGTTTCACAAGATAAAACGGAATAAATGATATTTTCTTTTAATACACCGTCGATACGGATGATTACGTGAGTAAAAGGTTAATTACCGCGCGATTTAACTGACCATATCGCGAACGTAACGAAGCTTGCCCTGCAAACTGACCGTGCGAAGGCTAATCTAGGTCCGGAAAAGATATAATTGCCGACGTTGAAAACTAATTATAGATTCGAAATAACGAAAAACAACGTCAGAGGGAGTCAGGCGTATCATAATATTGAATAAAAGGAAAAAGAGTTATTGTTATTCTCGAATATACATTGCAATTTACAATTACAGAAATAGAAGAGAGTTGATTAATGGCGTTGGCGACAAGTTCCGGCACTTCCAATCTTCTTCTAATTAAAGTTTATCAAGAGCCCCTTTCGCAGACGTGTCTTCTGTGCGAGTGGGAGAAGTTTGGGAGGAATTGGGAATCGTGAGAAAGAGGAAGATTGAGGGTGCAGAACGCGACCTTGATTCGCGGGATGATATAAAAATGTTGAACGTTCGTTTTCCAAGCTACTTCCCGTTGGCGTTCTCGTTGGCGAGCGAAATTAAAAATACACGAGATACGCGTGTACAGTCCCCTAGAATGAAACCTCCAACTTGGTAAGTAAGTAAGCCACTCGACCGTACTGTAATCACATGCATAGACTGATCGGGCTATTTAATGTTAGATGTAACCACCTGGAATCTAACCTTTATTAGATTGCACGCGGCTCCCTATGCGACGTCGTTTTAGCATAAATAACAAACGGTCGCCTTTAACGGTTGCACGAGCGCGATCGGAGGAAAAAACAGGATATCTTCCTAAAATATTTCTAGAATATTTCTAGAGTATTTTTAGAGTATTTTTAGATTGTATCTCGAGTCTACAGGTATCCCAAAATGTCTGAGTTGCCGAAAAAAAAGAAGGAAAAAACGACAGACATACCATCTCCGGTTCTCAAGGAAGAACAACATCAGACACACATCTCGCGTTTCCTACCTCCTCGTCTATCGTACGCTCGCACGAGTCCTACATACTCCTCCGTGCACTTATTCCTCCTGCCATCGAGAAAACGTCGAACGGTCGATGATTTAGCAGCGATGCGAACGCGCGATCCCGCAACCGGATCACGGAGATAAATTCGCGCGAAGAAGAAAAAGCGTGTCTGAAGGCGAAGCCGAGCGAAAGTGCGGAAGGCGAAAATAAAAGTATCGAGCGTGGCTCGTCGTCGTCGTCGAGCGCGGTACACCGACCTCGGGGTGCAGCGACGCGACCCTCGCGCACCTTGCACCGCGTATCACTGGTATCGCGCACGTCGAAGCGGAGCGCACACCCCCGTTCGACGGAGCAACCCCTGCCGTGGCGACGCGCTTCGCCGCCCTACTCGAGCGCGCGATAAGCGATCGGAGGAAAAGGGAGACGAGACAGACGGAAAGAGAGAGAGGGGGAGAGACAAAAAAGCAGGCCACTTACGATTAACACTGGAGATCCACGCGACGTCCTGCTGCTTGGCCGCGTTGTCTCGCCGACGTGCTTCCTCGGACAGCTGTCATCGTCGGCCGCGGCCCGCGACCGTCTCGTGCTCATATCGCGACGATCTCCACGACGAGCGTTGCTGATCATCGGGCGGGCAAACAAAAAAAAGTGCTGCGGAGAGTGGCGAATAAACCGGCTGCTCGCTGTGACGAATACCAAGAAACCAGGGTGAAGCGCGACGACGAATGTATGCGGATGATTACGAGCGGAACTAATGGACGAGAGAGAGAGAAAAACTGGCGACACACGGACAACACGCGACACAACGGCGACCGGTGTCTATCTCGTTTGCCGGGTCGACGGCAACCAATGGTGCCGCCAGGCGCCGCACCACGCCGAACCGAATCGAGTCGTGTCAAGTTGCGCGAACCGTACCATTACAACGCGAAGACTCGGCCGCCACCGTCGCACTCCGGCCGTAGCGGGCACATCGATCCGAGCACCCTCTACCACCCGAGCCGCGATTGGCCGGAGCGGCGCGCACGCGTGCGCGTATCTCAATCGCAAGGGCGCGTTCTGAACTCCGTGGCGAATACGAACGAGCGCGATGCCGAACCGATCGGAAGGCGCGCGTGAGTTGCAGATCTTCAGCCGAGTGCTACGACGAATATCGGATGTCCGCCTGAGGACGGATGTCGGCTCATCGCACTGGTGAGTTCCCCCGCATGTCGTTTCCTCGAACGTATGTCGCGACCGGCGACGCGGATCTCGGCGTCGGGAGGAAAACGACGCCGCCGCGAGGCGCCAATTTTTCGTACGTGCAACATGGCGACGTAACGGAAACTTTTTCCTTCCTTCGCGGTGCAATCGAGGATTCGTCTCTACATTTACCTTTGACGGCGTCGCCTCTACACTTTAACCGACGGTTAATCGGGAATGATATTCTGGTAAAATATATATATGTATATATATCGATCGTTTATATGGATGGGGAGAGTGCAGCAACACGATAACGTACGCATATTCAACGTTTGTAGCGCTGCCTCTCGTACACGCGAAAGCGTATACATAATTAGTAAAGGTAAATAACTGTCGGTAATGTTTTTGTACGATTAAAATGTATTGCGCGGACGCATTATGCATGGTGCGCGTATTAAACGCGAGATAACGACAATAGCGTACACGAAGTTCTTGCGACCATCGAGCCGATTCGCTATTCGACCTTGCATTTATCTTGTTTTTGTGCATAATTGTACGTGTACAATCGTACATGTTCATATTCACAAAGAAATACGCAACTCGCCGATACCTTTTTATTCTTTCATTCGAATTAAAGCAGCTGAAACGTTTTTGTCCTATATCGGCCATATAATGGAGGAGACATCTCGAGTCGAAATGTCGATTGTACATTAAATTTACAAATCTCGTCAAACTTGAAGAATCGGTGTACTCACGTACAGATTATTGTTCTATCTTGATATTCTATCTTGACGTGAAAATTAGTTTACTTTTTACTGTCATCTTCTCCGTGTTAAATTATCCTTGAAGAATTTATTTCGGAATTATTTAATATTCAGTTTCTTCAATATTTCCAGCAAACTCAAGTGTATAACAATTGTTGCAATATAATGAAACGTAACACGTAATATAACATGAACATTGCAGGCAACAAACAGGTTAATTCTAATTTCCTGCTCACGACGTTGTAGTTATATAACATAAACATAATGTTACTGTGTCGTTATTCGCGATTTTAGAAAGGATCTAAATTACCGCGGTTTTAGTGTTAATTCATAAAAATGTGTTTTCAAAAATGCAATCATTATTTTACATTAAAAGTGATATTTAATTAGCGTAATAATATAAAAGTATCTGCCATTCTAAATTTAGCTTTCAGTTATTATATTCATTCCCATCACCATAAATGGTATTTCCGCAGGAGAGATTATTATGAATGGCATTAATTATTATTAAGCCGGTATTAATCAATTGTACTTTATTTATTATATGTATTTGAGAACATGATTAATTACAAGTTCCCATTTATAGACATTTGATTATTTGAATAAATATTTCTTGCACGAAATATGACAAAATCTGCATATGTACAGATTGACAAAGATATTTCAGCAAACAATTAATACAACAAACAATACTTCTTACGAGATAAATACGGATTGACAAATAATCAGATATTCGTATAAAGCTTGGATTATTTATTAAATAATAATGAATGTAACATGAATGCCGACCTATATTTTGATTCCTTCTTATTCTCGGTAAATTCGTTCAAACATCAATTAACGGAAACTTAATTTATAACAAACAATTTGACATACCTAAAAATATATGATGTATCGTTGCTCGCGCACCGGACACGTCCTCCATCCTGGTTTCCCGATCCAGCACGGCTCCGTCGTGGTACTCCGGATACTCGCTTGTGACACTGACACTAGCACTAGCTAGCGCATTACCGATAGGACAAACACATGTTAATTAACGCGATGCCGACGAGAACCCGATTAAATATTTCACAAGTAAACTCGATTAAATATATTTAAAGTAATCATGAACTATAATTCACGCATCGATATACATATTCCGTCGTTATGCCCATCTTTCGTCAATTCGAAACATAATAACTCAATCACGGAAAAGTACACATCGCGTGCGAATACCAAAACAATGAGAAAAATGTGCGACGTTATGCGGCGTCAATCGGCAAGCGTTGCCGCCCGTCGCAGAATAGTCGCGCGAATAATGAAAACAAATTCACACAATCAAAGCATTCCGGAGTTTTCAGTACGTTCGAACTTATCCTCGCGCGCCTTGCATTTTTCCGAGCGTCACATTACTTTACGAACTATCGAGCGATATATATACTGATATGCACATATCGCAAAATACGTGTGCGATCGGTGCGTTAGATACCACTCCCGTTTACTCTTAAAATATTTAATCGAGTTCTCGTCGGCATCGCGTTAATTAACATGCGTTTCTCCGATTGAATCTATGCGAATGTCAGTGCCAGTGCCATAAGCGAACATCACGACGAAGCAATGATCGGGAAGCCAGAACGGAGGACACAGATTGTCGGCAGAGATGCATCATATACTTCTAGGTATGTGTTGAATCAATTATTACGCAAGATATTTTCGATTTTAATAGAGGTTTAATACATTTAATGAGGATGAAGCAGCTATCCGGTTGAAATGTCAGCCGGCATTCGCAATTCATCATCATTTGACAAGTAATTACAGCTTCGTGAGTTACTTCTCTAATTACTCAGCAATTTATACCCGTTATCTTTATTACAAGAAATAGTTATTTAAACAGCTGACTAACGATTCATGAATATGTATTTGTGATTAATTAAGATAAAAGCATTAATATTTGAATATCTAACTCCAGTAATTCCTGTTGTTTTTATTTTTAAATACTAATATTTAAATTTTTAACGCAAAATATATATACATATTCATTATATCTATATATATTCCATATTATAAGTTTAAATATTTATATTTCAGGATTAAAACAACAAGAATGTCCAGTTACATGTCCAAGCTTTAATAGTTTTACCTTATACTGTCAATCAAAAATTTGAAATAATTTTCAACTATGAAATATCGATACCTTAAAATCTAGTATAAGTCACGAAGGCTGATTTATATTTCTAATAATTATCCTTATTTTTACTTCTATTTAAAGGATTATTGTTATTCTATTGAATTAAAATTTAATTTAATTGTACTGTATTATTAAATACATAATTGATATTTTCGTCTTTACTGTTTCTTCCTTTTCGTTTTTTTTTTGTATTTCCAAATTCTATCGAAATGTCCAGTGTTAATAAAAAATAATAACAATGAGAGGGTTATGAAGAAAGAATAGTTTTTATTTACGCGTTCACTCATTAATTATTCGACGAACTTACTGGGTTAAAATGATGCAGAATAAACATCTTGGCCTGGGATTTTTCTCACGTATTGTAGAGAAAATTTGACCGTTGATGAGTTTAATGCAAATTGTAGATTACACTGTATACGCTACGTCCGCGAATTTCCATACGCTCGAAAAACTTCCCTATTTAACAGACGAGCCATGAAAGTTTCAGCATGCCGTAAAAACGAGAAGCCTCGCTAACAAAAACAAAGCTACGGTATTTCGCTTCAGATGGAAATTTAAGACGCATGTCTCTTTGCAAACAGGAAAGGGAAATTGCACTTTTATTTCGTGGAATAATCATATCGTCGGGAACTAGTGAAACTGACAGTGGCGTAGAAATAAATACGCATATTCTATTTCAGCGTCAATAATCCATATCAGTCGCCGGTGCTTTTCAGTAGATTAAAATACTAGCCGTGTCGGCGGAATTCTCGTTTGATATTTCACATTGATCATCTCGGTGTAGCCACGATTGCCCTAGAAAGAGATAGCTCCGCCCTACAAAGAGACGCTATAAAAATAAAGGGCAACAACCCCCGGTTGTGATGTGACCCGTCCTCCTCCTTCGTCCCTTTTCTAAAGATAAAAATAATATTGTCAATAATTTACATATTTCCTGGTCGAACACATTATCGCTCGCGCGAGCTTATGTGTGCATAAACTTGACTATCGAGTGCACAAGAGGATCGTTGTGAATGCATAAAAAGAGAAAAGATAGTTCGCGACTTTCATCACTTTGGAAACTCACGTTTAATATCATTGCGTATTTAGTTTTAGATCATACATATATTATCGCATAGCGATTGCACAATTTGAATAAATGGCACCTAAGTAATTTATCCTAGAAAACGTGGCGGGAATGGACGTCCGTCGTGATAATAACTCCGTCGCAGTTTAATCAGCGTACCACCGTATCGCCTGGAAAACAGAGAAACAGCGCAATCATCGTCGTCGTCATCATCGTGCACAAATCTCGCGATTATTTAATATGACGACGATCATATCGCCGATAACGCGATAATTTATCTTCTCTGCATGAAACGCCCGATCCCTTCGATCTATTCAGTCTATGTATTCTTCTCCTAAAACCGCGAAGTAAAAATATCGGCTATCAGCGAAAAATAACCGCGGCACATTCGAGCGGATAAAAAGCTTTCAAATAGATTAATCGATAAAATAATTTCGCGACGAAGACGGTGTGTGTATAGACGCAGGAATATCACCGACGGCTATTTTTAATATCAATAGCGAAGAGAACAGGTTTCACCAATAACATCCAATTAACGTCAGATCGCAAATCATCCGGAACGGAGCGATTAATCCTGTTTCTTTTTTTTTTTTCAATTTAAGAAACACGTTAGATGTATCATGGGAGGTTCTCACGGCGGCAGTATCGGAGCGTCAAGCGTGTGAGTGACGATGCCCTAAGCGCGGCAGGGCGGGTGATTCGCATTCCATCGTGAAATGAAACGAGTTTGGGAGAACACCACGAGCTATTATATCAACCACCGTAGCGGCGCGGCTGCTGTTACACGATAGAAACAACATGGTGTGTACGTTCGAAGTGTAATACCAGCGGCACCGGCGAAGGCGGCGGTTCACCGGCGGCGGGGGACCGTCATAAGTGATTCGGTATGCGCATACGTGATGGTAGGTCGTCGTGTAAATGCCCACGATGTTCGATCGCCCGGCATGCATAGTCGCGATGCAAAATCCCTTCATATGAAAGCGCCGTATGCGAACGCGCGGATGCATAGAAACAACGCCTTCCGCGCGACGACGACGACTGCCGGGAAAGTTTCCGCGATCGAAACGCAGGTCACCTATTGATCCCCTGAGAAGCCGTATTTTTTTCTTTTTTCCTATTTTACGTTCTCTCTTCTCTGCGGCTTTTTTGCCGCATGGCGGGGGAGCGGCAACCGTAAATTCGCGAGTGTGTCTTAGCCGAAGCGCGTCGCCTCGTGTCGCGTCCGATGATACGGAAATTTCCGTACGACGCGATCCATTAACTCGCCGAGAGTATCGGGCGTGTCCTCCTCCAGAAGCGTGGAAACTCGTAAATTCGCCAAGTTGCGCGCGAAAGCGTCCCGTCGCGCCTGATAAAGCGCGGAAAATGTCGAGACGCGATGATGCCGCCCGCGCGAGTACGTCCCGCGAGTCCACCGGAAGGGAGAAAAGGGTATATGCGCGCTCTGTAGGTATAAAATTGTACGATCGCGATCGCGTTAACTTTGACGGTCGTGAAACTAAGACGCTACTTTAGCGGAAACTTGACGTGGAAAGAACCGCGAAAACCGACAACAGGCATCTTAGCTGGAAACTCGATAAAGATCTTAGAACGAGCTCCCCTGTCGAGCGTGGCGTTGAGAGCAGCGATAGGATTTATCCGCTTTAATTTCCAAGAAGGTACGCGACCAATAAAAACTCTCGCTTTACGTGTCATAAATAAACTCGATCGTCACGTATTCGCGACGAAAGCTGACAACGATACTCAAGACACGAATATTGTTAATGTTGACCCTACACAGGAAAAAAAGGTTTCTTTGGATTTAGTGTTTGTTTGACTTGGCTTTGTTTAATATAAACCATATAATTTAATATCAAGTATCATTTTGTTCGAATGAGAATGTTGTTTCACTGGAATAAACCACGTTGTTTGATAGAAAAAACAGTATTATATATACGCGAAAAATACTAACAAGCATCCATCTTACGCCCTCGCGAATTTGTCAGTTATGGACTGCTCTCATTCGTTTTAAATAAGATTTCTTATGGTTATCCCCATATAAATATAATTACGTTCTAAAACTATTTTTTTTACTGAAAATATAAAAAATGAAGGACACTTGTCAACCACGCGACGATTCCAAGATTAACAACGCTTTTTTCTATTATGTTACAGAAAACATACCGGTGTTACCTGAGAACAACTGCGCTATGCTGCCAGACGATCTACAGTACGTCGCGAGGGACGGTTCGTAACATATCAAAGTCCGCCTGGCGTCTTCGCACCAGTTCCAAAAGACGAGCTTCTGATCTCTCGCCGCCAGATCCGTCAACAGCAGCGTCAGGTTCTTCGCCACTGTGGCATCAATCCTCAGCACGTGACGGCCCTCCACAACCACCGGTAAGTTTCCTGGCCTCTTGTCGCACCTGAACACGCAACAAAGTCGCGAACGATTTCTCTCTCTCTCTCTCTCACTTGCGAGCGCACGCTAACACAGGGTGTCCCAGGAAAAGCGCGAAGTAAACGCGTTGCTACTCGCGAAGTTAGAAATCGATTTCTCCTTAGCGAAAGCCGAGGCCCCGATAAACACAGTTCTCGTGCTGCGATCCGTCAGATGGTAGAAAAACGGCTCTCGCGAATCAAGAATAGAATAGAAGCGCGAATGAAAAATAGATCACCGCTCATCGTGCGGAGTTGCTTTAAAGCGGATTCTCCCTTAGCGTAATTCTCATTCGAGATTCGCCGAAGTCGTCGAGCTTCCAAGTTCGAGAGGTCACAACGGAGAAAAGGGATTGTTTCTGCTGAACGATTTTTTCACCTGCAATTTATTTTCGACTGACGCTCGTGCGGAGCAATGTCCGCTTTACGCTCTCTTCGGGTGCACCCCGTATACGCGCCGACTCGAATCATTTCTTACGCGGATTTGCGGCGGGACTTACCACGACATTACTCGCTCTCGGAGGTACTCCGCGGCCGGGAAGCTCAGGGATTGTTTGGGCGATACGAAGAGCACGGTCAAATCATCGACGATCCGCTCCTCGATCAATATACCGGGCCGGGCAGCGAAATAGAGTAAGAGAATTAGATTTACCGCAATCCCGGCGATCATACCGTACTCCAAACCGACCACCAAGCAACATAATAACGTCACCGTCAATGGCACCAGATCGATTTCTGCTCACCGACAAAACGAAGAAGACATATATATATATATAAAGAGAGAGAGAGAAAGAGAGAGAGACTAGATTAACCGCCGGATAATTTATAACGAGCTATACTTAACGCTTCGCGGTCGAGTGTGCTGTACTCTGTATCTTCCGTGTCTCCTCGTTATCCGCAATAACGAAGAACTAGAGAATTCAACGTGCCAGTCGCGGTTTGAGAAAATAATGACTGTATTTCAGGTAAATGTAAATTCACTTGAGAGAACTTATCGAAAATTAATCAAGTTCCCTCGATAACGGCTTGCTTCTTTTGTCCCTTCTTCGTTATTCAGAATCAATTTTACGACTTTCTTTTAATTTCTCGATTTAATAATAATTAATGAGTAACCAAGAATTATTACCGAAAAAAATAAGATTTCGACCGGGAAGCGCTTAAGTATACAAGCTGCTGTTGGCGTCTTACTTTTCGTTCTCCAAAGAACGACGAAGATGTTCACCTCGAACATGTAATACATGGCGATTATGATGACGGCCGCTAATGTGGCTTTGGGAATGAATGCAAAGGTGGACGTCAACAGGCCACATGCCAAAAGCACCAAACCGCCGGTAATCAAGCCACCCATCGGCGTTTTGACACCGGAGGCGTTGTTAACAGCCGTCCGGGTGAAACTTCCAGTGACAGGCATTGACTTGACGAAACTGCCAAAAAAGTTACAAAAACCCAGCGCCAACATCTCCTGATTGGCGTCGAGTGTCTTCCCCTTCGCTGAAAATTTATTGTACTTTTGGAGGCATTTAAAAATTTTATTGCGGAAAATCATAATCTAAACCTTCGCGGCATATCCAGGAAAAAGTTCATTTTAAACGTGAATATTTTACATCCTTAATTATATATTCTGTGTATGATTATTTACGATTTTTATTGCATAATATATATATATTTTTTAGTAAAAAATATATATCTTCTTTTTATTAAAAATATTTCTATTATATGATATATATTATTTTTGTTATATTTATTTAGTTGTGTTTGTTTATTATGTATTGTATGATATGCATCGCTTTATTATTATTATTACTATAATCATATTACTGAAACCGCAAATTACGGTGGTGCTAATGAAATCCGTGAGAAATTTGATATAATATGATAATTAATTTTAAACGTTATCTCTTCGCAAAAGATACATTTTAAAATAATTTCAGTTACAAAGATTTTATATTCCAAATAATATAAGGAAAGACTAGACACAAGATTTCCTTGACGAGGAAGCCCAAGTCAAAATTTGGGTTCTACAGTAATCCTACAAATTTCCTTCAAGTTCGGCGAACTTGAAGGATCGTTGGAGGATCTTGAGATAACAAGTTACTGTCCTACTTTGCTACTACAAAAGTTATTTATTGCCGTTTCCTTCTCCATTTTAAAATACAAGACTTGTTTCTGAATTATTAATTATCTTACGTAGAAGATATTTGAAACATTTGTTCAAGATTAACTTAGAAGCAAAATTTCGACCTCAGAGAATAATATAGAAATCTTTCTCTTTCTCTGTCAATCGATCAATGTCAAACTTTCCGAAAATCAAGCAAATTTTACTTACCGAATGCCTTCGCGATTGCGACGCTCTCTAAAATGGCGATGAGTGGTATCGAAATGGCACTGCTGCCGAGTTCACTGACCAACTCCAGGAAAGTGTATGTATGGTTTCCGTTTACGATGGAGAACGGGGGCAATGAGAACAGCGGCAAACCCTCGGTTATGTTGCCCGTAATTTGGAAAGGCTTGATGTCGTAAGAGGATAGCACGTACGCTATGAGAATTCCTGCCATCACGACTATGGCATTTCTGGCTATGGAAACCAACCACATGAATTTCTCTAGAAGGGTTCCCAACTTCTTGCCAGGCAATTTCTGTTTTCAAATATTTCGTTTTATTGATTATGTCTTCGAATATCTCGTTACACGTTTAATTATATTCCGCTAAAATAGGTAAACAAGCTAAAAATAAACGTTCACGTCTCCCATCAAACATTAAAAAAATTTTTTTTTTATAAACATCGCTTTGAGACATTTTATTCAAATAATTAGATGAATAAAGCAAATTTATATTTTTACTTAAATAATTAAATAAAACAATATTTTTTGAATAAATTTGAAAGGTAACGCATAGACAACATTAACGATTAGTTAGATATTCACGAACCGATTAGAATTAACAATAAAAATACTTATTATGTTTCTAAAAAAAATGCTTTTCTATTAAGAATAGTAGTCAAATGTGAAATACATCGCCTAAGAATGAATTTCATAAGGATGATATAAGTTAATTAATTATACCTTGAAAATAATTAGCACTACCATCGAACATACTCCTAACAGTGGGTCCCAAGGTGTCGTTTCGTTTATATGCTCGACGACGTGCGAGATAGCATCGATAAAGGAATCGGTACGACCTTTTATGCCCAACAAAGTACCCAATTGGGAAGTAGCGATAATAACCGCCGCCGCGTTACTAAAACCACAAATTACGGGCATGCTAATGAAATCCACGAGAAATCCCAGGTGAAGCACTCCCATGGCTGTTATCACGACGCCCGATAAGAAGCATATGAGTACCTGAAAATGATTTTATCCGCTTCTTATCGAACCTCAAGTTGCAAATTACAACAGCGGTAAATTTTTCCATTGTCAAAAATGATATACGTAAAAATATATTCTACGTTTTCTGAAAAAAGTAATTTGTTTGCCGAACTTTGTTTAAAAATCGCTTAAAAATAAGAGTATAAACTAATATTTCGTAGAATATAGTTGCACACTGAGAAATGAGATTGACAAAATATGCATATCGTGAAAGAATTACAGAGTAAATATAATTAAATATAATTAATTATATGCTCTGTGCAAAGAAAAGGGGAAACTGAAATCCATAATGTCGGGGCAATGTTAATAAATATCCACTTACAGCGACATCTTCGCCCAGTTTCATGACGTGCTTTTGCGTCAATAAAGCCATTATCGCGGTAGGGCCCACCGTAACATCCTTGCTACTGCCGAAGATCAGATAAACGAAGCACCCCATGAAACCGCTGTACAGGCCGTACTGAAGTTTTCAAAAGTTCACCTAACGAGAATCGCCTTTCCAACTATCGTAGATTAAACGGGGAGTTACTCTCGACGGATATACTCAAAATACTCGGGGGAATTCAATTATCTCATGGAAAACCGCGAATAATTACGCAATTGCGAAATCATCGTCGCGGTTTCACAAACTTTAATTTTCGATCTGTTGCGGAAGTTTCTACTTTACTCGGAATAGTTTGCCTGTACGAATCAATACGATGCGCGGCGGTGCAACTTTGTAATCTAGCTGGACGAAAATCGAATTTCTGACTTGGCCAGAATCTTTTTACGGAATCCCCTGGGAAAAACTGACGAGAAAAATGACGCCGCGCTTAACGAGCGCGAACTCTGAAAAGTAGACTTTTGTCATCGGGCAGATGTCTAAATTTAGAAATTAAAGTTGCTAAGATGGCGAATGTTAAATTTGTACAGTTGCGAAAAATGATGACTGCCACCGATACTTTCGCTAACGCAAGATTGTTCTCAAATACTGCGTAAAAGAATGCCACGTCACGCAAATCTACTTTTGTCAATTTTCGCACGAATAATTACAATGTTTCACGGAACGATTTTATACAAAATAAGTACGTTTACTAAAAAGTCTTTTCTTTATCTTTTCGCACACTTAAACTTCCGTCCAGCTAAATTGTCAAATTAGATCACGGTGAGACACTTTGAATTATTTCGATCGATTTGCCGAAACATCTCACGGTATTTTCATCAACTTTACGGGAACTCGTGACGTGTACGTTGATGTTTAATGATAGTTTCGACTCTGACGTCGTTCGCGCGACGAGAAGTTTGCACGCGGCAAGTGCACGCTCGCAAGAAGGCTCGTATCGCGTACGCACCTGAGCCGGAAGTCCAGCCACTATTGCATACGCTATGCCCTGCGGTATCGCGGTCAGACCCACTGTCAACCCCGCCAAAGTGTCCTGCAGAAGTTTGCTCCAACTGTACAGAGGCAGCCATGCCAGGATCGGTATCCTCCGTACGAGAACCCCCTTGAGGTTGCAACTTCGGGAGAACGCGACATTCGGCCCTATGATTTATAAAACGACCGTGTCAACGTGAAATAATCGTGAAAACTGAAATTCGCGACAATATTTTAGCGACAATTAGCCCGTGCGACGAGAAACATCTATTAACGGGCAAGAATCCGGCAAACGTGTAATTATAATTACAGTGACAATGCACAAAGATAATGGTTGGAACTTAAAAAATGAGATTGGAATACAATTCTTTCAATTGTGTTTCATTCTTCAATTACTGTGGAGCTTAATTGATAAGATGTCGAGATACTGAAAATAAAGAGAACAAAAGGCAGCGAAACAATAGTTATCCGTAAAACGCAATTTATAAAATGATACTAATTACATTCAGCACTGATTAATAATGTTACAGTTAACGGTATCGCTCAGGCTATTTAATTCGTTATCAAGGCACGTGCACAAATTCTAGATACATCGATCAGAGGCTGCGTTTAAGCAGCTTATCATCATCACTACCACGTATCATGTTATATGAACCACGGGAGAGAGAGAGAGAGAGAGAGGGACAGAGAAAGATAGTACAAAATTATTAACTAATCATAGTCACGCCTGTCGGCGTTCCAACGATAGTTGCGATAACGAGGGCTATGCGAGCACGATATTACAAAATCGCTACGTGCAGGCGCAACTTTCTAATAACAACCGCACCTTCCATCCGACCACCTAAATTCACCCTGTAATACGCATTTAATTAATCGTATCGCATATCGATCATTGGTTATACGTACATAGTGTCATGGTGCCGATACGCTCTAGTTTTCCTCCAATGCGCTCACTCGAATCGAACGATACCGAACGCTAGTGGAATTGGTCAGAAGGCGAACACACAAACGGCCGGGAGAATAAAAAAAATGCGATTATCTCCGCGAACTCTCGACGAGGTAAAGCGCGAAATCCACAAAGTCACTGCACGTTCTCTCTCTCTCTCTCTCTCTTGGTGCAGTCCCTCAGTGAGCAGTGTCGCATCGAGCACTGACACCTTTGCGACTGATATATTCGTTGAATAACAATGGTTAATATCTCTAAGATAATTCATCACTACGTGCTGAAACGCGACTACTTTTCAAGTGTTTCCGATTAGCAGAATGATAAAAGCGTGTCATTCGGGGGCTCTCGAGATAACGCTGCAGACAAAAAAATAGTAATCGAAAGTTGACGGTCGATTCGCCACCGCAATCTGATCCCCATAAAATGTTTAACAACGTCATCTCGTGATCGTCCAGGTATTAGCTATCATACGATAACGCCGCACAGAATCGCGCTATCAATCGCGTCACGTAAGATGCGTGTATGCGTTCGAGAGATTAATCCGATAAAGCTTTTCGACTAATTTTAATTGTCGAGCAATTCCTTTCGCATCAAGTCAAAGTTATTTCACCGCGCTACCTCCAAAAAATTGCCTGACGAGAAACTTTCAGCTTTATAAATTCGATGTCCTCCCTCTTTCTCTATTTATCTATCTATCTTTCTCTCTCCCTTTTTATAAATAAATTTATTGGAAACGTCATGAATATATTTCACCGACAGACAAATCAATCGGGAAAGAATGTTCTACGAGCAAAAAAATTACGCAGGAAATCACGTTTAATGAATTAGTTATTTCGTGTATGGATCGAACAAGCGGCTACGAAACATTTAACACGGATCAAATGTGTGTTTTTGGGGTGAACGGAAATAGCACAGCACACACGACCGTCGAATTTCGTTTCCGTCTGGACGACGGCGGGAAAACGGAGCTGTCGAGATTAATTGGATGCTGTCGTCGAGGCATCATTCGTAGAAGAGAGATTTTGATTAATCACCGGAGTACACTGAGTCGTTGATCTGACATATTTGCCGAGCGCGTATGACTATTACACGTCGCGAAAAGACAAATAAACGGTCATGGAAAACATCGCTGTCTGCGAGGTTTTGATAACGGTTCACAACAAAGAGTCGTCGAGACATCGTCGTTTAACCGATTGACATAACGCAATTTTTCCTTATCTCTGCGCCGTTAATTATTTATTTCTCATATGGGATATTAATTGAGGAAGTAACGCGGTACGCAACACGCGATCGAACATATTTAATTACATGAAATGTAGTTGAAAATAATTCATTGCACAAAAAACTCATCTGCACGAAATTTTTATAATATGTTATATATTATACAAAATTTGTTTATAGCGATTATTTTCTCTTTTCTCTATATGAAAATACATGAAATATATTCGAGAATAAGTTTCCTCGTGAAAAATGAAACATCAAGCTCTTACATCATCTTACGACATCTACACAAAGAAAGATTTCTTTGAATTTAATATACGTATATGTTTAATATAAACAACATAATTTAATATCGAGTATCATTTTGTTTGAATGAAAATGTTGTTCCACTAGAATAAATCATGACAACTAAACAATCCTGTTTGTTGATTCAAATATTCGTTTGTTTACTCTATTTTAAAAATACAAAATTGTTTTAATTAAAGGGATTTTTATTAAATCCAAAGAAACGTTTTTCTTTGTGTACGACCTTTCATATCGTGACAATTGAAAATTTCACAATAAAATTATTATTAAAAAAAATATGTGTATATCAAATTATTCATGCGTCATTCACGTATTTTCGGAAAAAATAATTAAAAAAAAACCACTTTTGTTCGCAGTCGGTAGGACTCGAACCTACGCTCCCAGAGGGAATCTGATTTCTAGTCAGACGCCTTAACCACTCGGCCACGACTGCTACGTTCGCTACATTTCTACATTCACATTGAGTTGTACGTCATGCATCACAACATAGTTCGACATGAACTTATATTATGAAATTTCCTCGACCGTATAACATCGACGTGTAGCATCGTAGCGCGTCGACGAAGCGAATCACAATCGATAATCGAAACACGACGAATAAATAGACATAGATCTTAGAATAAAACATTTCATAAACGCGCAGCTTGCTTCACACGTGCGTTAAAAAACAACGTAAAATAAATATTAGTATAACTAATACAAAGACGGATTATAGGAAGGATAATGAAAATCAGACGAGAAACTGAGAAACGCGACGACCAACAAAGGCGTGACAAAACGTGATGACACAATAACGGGAGTTAATAATCCGCGATTCTAGAAAATATACGCGATATTGCTTGTCCAAAAAGAGATTATATTATAACATTGCGTTTCGCACGATATATATTTTTCAGATTTTGCATCAGTTTTAAATTATCTAAAATTATACACCAGCCACTTTAGATTTACCGAATCACCGACGATTTCTCTCACTCTTTCGGCCGGACAGTTATTACATGTGTATTCAAAAGCTTACATAACGAGAAAAATTTTTAATTCCTCTCGTCCTCTCTTCCCCTTTAAAATCGCTCATCACGCGACTTCGTTCCGCTAGCAAAAAACAAAGCCAATAACTATCATCCTTTGACGTCTCATCGCACAAAAACATGCGTCATGACGCAGATAGCCAACGATGCGCGGAAAGATCGCGCGAGGATCGAGGCGAAACTTACTCGAAAGGAGCGGCGTGGTTTCACGGAGTCTTCCACGTGGAAGCGACATTTTTTCGCGGTCACAATGGGACGCGTTACTTCAACGACGGGGTCGAATGAACCACGTGCGCGCTCCCGATACGGGAGAGCTCCCGGACACGCTCCCGATACGAGAAGCGCGCATTCTTCGACTGGAGAGACGGAGGAGGACGTCGATAAAACAGGAACGGATGATCGAGCGCGATCGTCGCGTATCAACGCTGATGATAATGAGCGAGCGGAGGCGAGTGAACGGTGAGGCGGACGCATACGGCCTCGAGCCCGACGCGTGACACGCGCGTACGCACGCGCGCCTTGATACCGTCTCTATCGTGCGCTTGTCGGGATTTTTTCTTCGGGTTAATGGAACATGCAGTGTTGTTGTACTGCGCGGACTCGCATAATACAACGATGGTCGTTTCAATAGGAACTATAATGTGTCCTGACCAGTAAATTATTATTAATGTTGTTTTTATTCCATCATTAGCTACGACGAACGTAACTCACTCGCGCGCACCGTGAAATTACTACTTTCAAATTATCGTTCTTACGTAAATTACGTCACGTAATTAATGTTTTCGGGCTCCAAAAATACGAACGTGCACCGTATGGCGAGGTGACTCGCACGAATCTTCAGGTACTTGAAATTGCCGGAGATTGAGCCTGATTGAGTCAATTTTTAACTCATCAGTCTCAATTTCGCGATTCCGCTACCGTAATTTTATTAGAACTACATTTTAATGGCGCATATTCTTCATTTTATACGTTCATTGTTTACGTCGCGATCCATCACCCATAAATAATGCTTCGTTAGATAATCTCAGTCTGGATGAAACAGTCTTAATTACAAGAAACTTCTGTTACTTTGCAGAATTCGTCCGCTGGGACTACTTGACGGGAATGATGGGGATCGCCTCTTCCGGGAGACGTGGATTACGCGAGAACGACGCGGACCATCGCCTGCCAACGCTCTGGGTAAGTGACAATGATTAACGCATTACTAATTGCAATCTAATCAATGCGTGATAACGTAGCCCTGCTACGTAGTCCCTGCCGTTGTCGTGAGCGTTCTCGCCTTAAGCCTTAAAACGATTGACGCAAAATCTGTCAACGATTATTCACGAGATTATCGGGGTGAATATCAATCTCGAGTTAATTACGATATACGAAACAATGAGATTGCAATATAATTTTGTAATTGTATATTCATAATAAAGGTTTTTCTAGAGTCACCCGATTTTCAAATATTTTCTTACGTTACAAATACACAGAAGAAAAAATTTCTTTGGATTTAATCAAATTTTTCTGATTGACACAAATTTATCATTTGGAATAAAGCAAACAAATAAATGTTTGATTTAATAAATAGGATTGTTTGGTTTCTCAAATAATACATATTTTTACGTCAAGTACAACACATTTCTTTAGTATTTTGTATTTTTATCCAAACATTACAACGGTTGTCACAAAAAATAAATTACTTGAAAGAAGTAAAGAAGTAGCATTATATTAAAAAAAATATTAAAGAACTTCTTTTTCTTTCAATGGAACAATATTTAATATATAATAAAATAAATTTTTTTTATTGAAAACAAAGTATTATTTCGCCTGAATAATACTTTTCTATCAAAAGACATAGTTTATTTTAGTAAAACAACAATTTTATTCAAAAATAAAATATTTGATATTAAATTATGTTATTTATATGAAACAAATCAAACGCGTGTATTAAAACCTTCTTCTCTGTTTACGAATCACCGAATTTGTATTTTTCGGAATTCTATTTATCGTTCTCTACCACCGGACTTAACGGTGAATTTTTTTGAATCCTCGGATTCAATTTGCGCTTACGCGATTTCCAAAAATTTTTTTTGCGATTGTGCGATCAGGTGCATCGTCCTGTTCATATAGACAATTACTTTTTCCGGGCAACGCAACAGTTGCCGCGACGACAATGCAGTCACGTTTAAACAAATACATCCGGTCCGGAACTTCGGAACCATGTTCGATCCACTGTTGCTAGTTAGAAAATAAAAATGTACACATGGTGAGCGGTATCCCCTGAAGGGTATCCGGCGAACTATGCAACACGTGTATGGAACGTATCGCGAATCAAATTTCGCTTAGCTTATCAGCCCGACCGGGATGAAGGTGCGAGTGCGGTTGGAAACGCGAGTCGGTAAAAAGGACCATTTATATTCGATATCGCGAGAAAACGCGTATCCGGGTGAAATGCATTTTTCACGCGCGTTGTTCCGAGATTTAAGTCGATCCACGATTAAATAAATAATTATCGTAATTATCCGACAGCTCTCGGTAGCTCGAGCTTAATCAACGCATAGTTTTACATTGTGAGTGGCAGTTAATTCGGGAATCGTGCATGTGAGGTAAATCCGTGCTTACGGGTGTAGTATCATTAAACAATTAAGCGCGATCTCGACGAACTATTAAAACGGCCGGTGGAATTTCCTCGCAACTCTCGCCGCGCAATCTATTTCCACGACACTTGGCAAAAGTCCACATGAGCACAGACGCGGAACGCGGGGTGGGGCGGGCGGGGACGAATATTTTACAGAAAAAATAACTGATATATATATATATATATATATCCTGTTTTTATATGTTATATCCTGTTTTTAACTCTTGTTTACTCCAGATTTAATCTATTCCCGGTATTTCTTATTCATTTGCCGTTAACATAAAACAATTTATTATGCGCGTTTCGTCACTGAGATAATCGAGATACACCTCATTTTCTTTCTCTCCTGTCTCTCGGACAATTTTTTCTTTGTAAACAGATCGATGCTTCAATCGGTCTCTCGGTCCTGCTTTGATCTTGGAAAAATGAAGACCGAGCCGACAGATCTTGCACGAATCGCCAGCGATCTGAGCTTGAAAAGGTTATGTCCGCGAACAATTTTCAAAGCGGTGCGAATTACGCCGAATGAACACGGTTCTAATGACTCTTAATAATGCCACTTTGGTAGAAAAGAAAAAAAAGGGAAAAAGGAAGGTGGAAATTAAATGATGACGACGCAGCTACAGAATGCGGAAAATATTCGTTAAAACGCACGTGGCGTTCTTCCCCACGCCAATGATACGTATCAAAACATAATGCGATCGCGATTGTTATTTCAAATGGGTCGGCACACAGTTTGCGCAAACGAAAAGTCGCATTTCGTTTTTACGTAATCGATCACGTAAGCGAGCGCGCTGTCAGTAGGGCGAAGATGTTCGTCGTCGTGTAGCGTGCATCGCGTCCGGCAGGGGACGATCGATCATTTGCATCGATCGGGTGGTTTATCGACGAAAGCGCGAAGGTCGCGGATATAATCCGCGAGTATCGCCCGCTTTTTCCGATCCGCGCCGGAATGTGAGGATTGAGAAATTTATGAAATCTCACGCGAATAATAATTCTGCATCGCGATTAAAGGACGGGATTATGCGGAATTTTCGCATTTTTCAATAGCGCGATATTAAAACATTGTCGGTCGAAATTATCGCGACAATTTATCGCTGTTACTTTTATTACACGGACCGTCGTTATTAACAAAAATATCACGTGAGCACGCGATTTATATTGTATTATATATATGTACTAATATTAAACATTTTTTTATCATGAAATCACTCGTCAATATTTTATGGATTTATAGACGGCTACACAATGCCGTCATTTATTCGCGCGTGCTTTATCCTCTCTTTCGATGCGCTCGAAGTAATCGATCCACCTTCCATCCGCCGTTTACACGGCACACGGCAAAAAGATTTCCGCCGATTTTGCAACAAATCGTTCATGCGGATCGATCATAAAGCATATTACGTAAGATATCGTTCGATCCTAGCCGACCGGATTTTTTTTGTGCGCGCGAATACGACTCCTTTCGGAGACACGAGCGCGCGCATTTCCATTGTCTTCTGCATATTATGAATCACGCAAGTGATACACGTCACTTGTAATCACGGCAGAGATGTTTTGCAATATTATCGTCTCCCTCGCATTATCGGATTACGAACTGCATACAGCCTGCGCTAACCAGATACACGAAGCGATTCGGTGGCGAGCTGACGAAACGATAAAACTCCGTCGGGTACGAAAAAGCGACTTTCGGAATTGCATATGAGAAATCTGAGATTTATCGCAACCACCATTTGATCGGCGGCGGAAGGGAAAACTTATTCATAGGTGAGACACGTTCTCGCGTGTTTCTTCCGGCAAAATGTATCGAACGAACGCGCACACCACCGTCGCGCGCTTCTCTCCGTGCGTGTTATTTCCCGCGATTTGCATAGAATGAGAAAACGCACGTGCACGTTTCACCACAAACTGACGTTTATCGGACACACGGGGAGGGAGGGGATTTAAATAACCGGGCATTTAAATACCCCCTCTCCTGCGCACACTTTACTCGAAACCGCTCGCGCTTTTTAATTATCGCGCGCGATCGATACCCCCTCCCGCCGATGTAGTAGTTTTAGCGCGCCGCGGCGGCATCAAGAGAGTAGGGCGGTCACTTTCGTGGAGCCGAACAAAAAGCGAACGACGAGGATGGGATTCGAACCCACGCGTGCAGAGCACATTGGATTAGCAGTCCAACGCCTTAACCACTCGGCCACCTCGTCCGATGGCAGGGCCGCCTCGCTCGACGAAGCAGCTCGTCCTGGGTCGTCCGCCATGTGCACCAAAGTGCTATTTGACAGCGCGCACATAGTGACTGCATGATCGCACCTTCATAAGCTGAACGTGTCCTGAAGGAAATGATCGTGATGGACCCTCGGACGAGTTTAAATGCAATTTGCTTTGATAAGAAAAGTCATGTAAATTAACCATCGATGCATATAATGTTGAAAAAATTAAGAAATTAAATTATCTGGTCTTGAAGGTTTAAAAAACCGATATAATTTTGAAAGCTTATCGTCTCAGGAATATCCCACAGAAATATTTCCTAAGCAAAGTAAAAATTAGAGTAAGATGTACAGGTAAGAATGACGCGGCGCACGGGTCGCTTAATCAACTTGGTAGTTCATATCAGATGCCTTACCCTCGATCTCTTTTGTCCTATAAATAATGAAATATAAAGATATGTAAGGTTTTTCCCGAAAGTTAGATAGAAAAGAATAACAATGAATCTTTAA